GGCGACTTCAGCTGAATCGATACTACCGCCGGGGATGGGTTCAACACGGAACTGCTTCCATCCGGGGGCGATAGGGCGCACGCCAGCCACGCTGTAATGGAGCCAGTTGATGATGGAGCCGAGAGCGTAGTGGTTGAAGCTGGTCATCTCGCCCGGGTTGATGGATCCATCAGGAAGCATGCTGTCCCAGCGTTCCCATATCGTGGTTGCTCCCATGGTGATCGGGTACATCCAGGATGGCCGGCTCTTCTCTAGTAACATGCGGTAGGCGATTTCGTGATGGCCGGTCTTGGTTAGGGCATGGGCGATGATCGGGGTACCGGCGAACCCCGTGGCTACTCGGAACTTGGCTTGCCGGACTTGAAGAACGAGTCGGTTTGCAGCTTCTATGGCCTGATCGGTCGTTGAGTGGAGGTCGTACATGAGCGCCAGGCTTAATGCTGTCTGGGTGTCTCCAACGAGCAAGCCTGACGGTGCGATGTACTTATTCTGGAAAGTTGCCTTTAGCCGGTTGGAGTCGGCCTGGAATCGGGTGGCGTCTGCCGTTTCGCCTAGGGTCTCACTGACTTGAGCCATGACCGAAGTGACATGGACCAAATATGCATCGGCAACTAGTGTGCCGTTTGTTCGGGCGTCACCTGGCTCGACTGGTGGCGCTGTCGGATCTAGCCAGTCTCCTAGCTGCCACACTTGGGGATCCCAGAGCCCATCGGGACCCCTTTGAATTCCTCGGTCGATCCAGGCCAGCATACTGGTATATTGTCGGCGGAGGATGTCCGTGTCTCCGTAAGAGAGGTAGAGAGTCCAAGGAGTCAAGACAACTACATCATCCCAAATTGCTTGGGGTACCTGATGTGGCCACAACTCCTCGCTGATCACATTCGGTACCACAAATGGTGGAACGCAGCCATTGCCATCTTTAAGCTGTTCCGCAGCCACATCTTCCAGCCAGTGCCCTAGCATTCCGGCCGTATTGTAGAGAAAATTCGCCGACGGACAGAAAACTTGAATGTCTCCAGTCCATCCGAGACGCTCATCTCGCTGGGGACAGTCTGTTGGAATGGAAAGGAAGTTCCCGCGCATACTCCACCAGGCGTTCTGATGTAACTGGTTAACCATCGGGTGTGAACATTGGAACCAACCACTGCGAGTCATGTCGGTGTGCATTACCAATGCCGCAAGGGTTGTAAGTAATGGCGGATCTTGGTCAGTCCATCCTTCTACTTGTACATATCGGAATCCGTGGAAGGTATGTTGTGGGGTCCAACCCGTGACTTCTCTTCCCGCAGAGATAAATTCATCCCGGCACTTTGCGCCTCGCAGTGGGCGAGTTCCTAGCTCGCCGTGCTCCAGGACCTCCGCATGTGTGAATGTGACTCTCTCGCCTTCGGGTTTGTTGATGCAGCGGACACGCAACCGACCGACAAGGTTCTGACCGAAGTCAACAACGGTCTTCCCGGATGGAGTACGTAGAACTTCTACTGCTTTCACCTCCTCTGTCACGCGCACGGGTGGTGCTTCCGGAGCTACCAAAGTTGCTGACGGGAACTGTAGCTCTTGCACGGGATTCCAAGAAGAATCCATACTCTCAAGAGCACTATTCCAATTGGGGTTCTCCTCTCGCGCATCGTAAACTTCACCATCATAAAGCTCACTCTGCAGGATTGCACTTGGGTGACATGTCCAGGTAGAATCGGTGGCCAGTGAAAAGGACTTGTCCTGCTCAGAATGCACCTCTAGCTGGGCCAGTACCGCTAACTTATCGCCATACAGTTTTCGGCGACCACCGCGGAATCCTAGACGTGTAGCATACCATCCTTCACCCACTTCAACCGCGATTACATTTGGTCCGCTTCGATTTAGCAGAGCTGCAACATCAAACACCTGGTAATTAAGGCGATGCCGGTAGCTTGTCCAGCCAGGAGCCATGCATTGGTCGCCCACCGCCTGACCATTGATAAAGGCGCGATACACTCCTAGGCTGGTGATGTACAGTCGAGCCCGACTGATGGTATCTGCACCTGAGATATGGAAAAATTTGCGAAATCGTACTGGCCGCAGGGGGGTGTCATGAGGCGGAGCTTCTAGGCTGGCAATGGGAAGGCCCTTCCAGTCGTGACGATGGAGCAGGGCACATTCAATCGTAGACCAAGGGGACCAATTTGTAGGTCCCGCTTGAATCTTCTCAGAACATGTACCGTGAGCCCGAACTCGCACCTGAACGCTTTCCCGTGACTGCAAAGGGGAGCTTGGCCAAGGCACCAGGACTGACTTATTGCTGGCCACTTCATATGTCTCTATGGGTAAGTCTTGGGACCGAAGAATTTGGATCTCGTAAGAAGTCTGTTCCCATCCTAGCGGACAGTCCTCATTTGTGTTAAGGAATCTCCAGGATAAGCGGGGAGTCGCGTTACCCACGCCAAAGCCAGTCGGGTGCTGCTCGGCTGAGGGGGGTGCGATAGCCAGTCGGCTTATCATAACGAGGGTACGGGGTGAATTCAGGCGATAGTAGGTAAGAAAAAGTATGATACGATTTTCCACAAGTGTGGGAAGCGAAGTACTCCTGGACCTTCATATTTCCCCTCTTCGTTCGTTCTTATATGGTTCTCATGAGTACGCCATCGAGGTGTCTATTACCGGTGTATGGGTCGCTTCGCAACACATTCGTCCGAGACCCCGAATTATGGGCCAATATGCATGCCATATGACCAGTAAGATGAAGAGCTCAAGGGCGAACGCGAGACCCAGGCTGCAAGTGATCAGTGCATAAGAAGTGCATGTGGGACATACAATAGAATGCCGGCGGCGTTTTCGGCTTCTCATTGGAGAGTCGCCGCCGCTCCCCGCATGGTCGCAAATTAGGGTTAACCATCGTAACCGAATCAAGGCTAACGTTACCCCATGGGGTATTGATGGTATAACAATCGCATAGATGGTATAGACTGTATAACTAAGCGGAGAAGGCAAGATTCGACAGTATATAAAGAGGACCGGAAGAATCGAGGTACAGCGAATTCATGTACGCAAGTAATGCAACAAGCAGGCTGCCCCCCTCCACTTGGATATTGCAGAGATGCTTTCCCTTAACCTTGTCTTGATCACACTGGTGGTGGCTCTGGGAGGCTTCGTATATGGGGTGGACTCAGGTACATCTCTATTGAATCTCATGGGAGATTATCGATGGCTGTTGACGATTATTAGGGATTATCGCAACCACATTGGGCCATGATACCTTCAAGTATGCCATGTTCGGACCAACTGGTGAGAATGCTGGGCTGAAAGGTAACGTAACGTGTATCTGCTTCATTTTCTGTTTCCTTTTCAGAGGTGGTACTGATAACATACATGGCTAGGGGCTATTGTGTCCTTGTACAATGTTGGTCAGGCTCTCGGTACATTCATAGCAGGGTATTCGGCCAACAAGTTTGGTAGGCGATGGACTATTTGCGGAAGTGCCATAGTAGGTAAGTGTCCTCTTGTCCCCTTTCCGTACTTCGAACATAACCCTTCAGCTTTTGTTAGTGCTATGTTGATTGAACCTCTTGCTAAACGGATGTGTTTATTCAGCAATTATCGGTGCCGTTCTTCAGTCCGCCGCTGTCAATGCAGGAATGATGATTGCAGGAAGATTTTTCGCTGGAATCGGCTGCGGCATGCTTTTGACTGTCGTACCCATCTATATCGCCGAGGTTTCCCCTCCCCATCAACGCGGATTCATTGTTGGCTTACAGGGCTTCATGATTGCCATTGGCTTCTGCATAGCCAACTGGATCGGATATGGGGGTGCATTTGCCAAGGACGACGCCCAATGGCGAATTCCGTTGGCAATGCAGATCCCCGGCCCTCTGCTGTTGGTCCTTGGGTGTTGCTTTATACCCTATAGCCCTCGCTGGTGTAAGTCACACCGTATCATCTTGCATGGGACTCTCCTTTTTAAAGCAGGTGTCTAATGATCAATATCCTTCAGTAATTCAAGAGGAGCGCTATGAAGAAGCCCACGCCGTCCTAACAATGCTGCAAGGATCTGAAAGGGACGAGGTCTCCTTGTCTCAAGAACTCGCACAGATCCGGGAACAGATCCAGGCAGAAGCAACTGAGGTAACAAGCTTTCACGTTGCTTGCGCCAAGTTATTTTCCCGTCGTTATCTTCACCGCACGCTTATTGCGTGTTTTATTGTTGTCATGGGCCAGTTTAGCGGGTCTCAAGTCATTCAAAATTACCAAACCAGCTTTTATGAGACGGTAGGGTTTACCGGAAAGACTTCGCTTTTGATTAGTGGGGTTTATGGATTCATGGGCGTCATCGGTCAGATCATCTACCTATTCGTGGTAGCAGACAAGTGGCCACGCACTCGCACATTGTGGACAGGCTCATTGGTCTTGTCGAGCTTGATTGCCATTTGCATGGCATTATCAGCTGTGTACGGAGACGAGAGCGGTGGCGATCTCAGTGGTGCCCGTGCAGCCATCGCAATGATCTTCCTCTATTCCTGTGCCTATGCAGTCTTCTTCAATGCGATGGTCTGGGTTGTCCCTTCAGAGCTCTTTCCATTCTTGCTTCGCTCGACCGGGCTTGGGCTTGCTGTGTTCGGCAAATCCGTCGCAGCAATCGTCCTATCGCAGATCACACCAACCGCACTGGAGAATGTCAGTTGGAAATATTATTCACTTTTCATTGCCACGAACTTTGTGGCTGCGTTTATTTACTTTTTCTTTCTCCCAGAGACTGGAGGCAAAACACTAGAACAGATCGCTGAGCTGTTTGGTGACCCTCCTTCTGCTTTGAATACTGGGGATAAAGCCGAGGACATGGATGATGGACAAAGCATCGCGGGGACGAAGAACACCAAGTCTACCCATGTGGAAGCGGCTGTATGATTATGTGGTGGAAAAGGTTAGCATATTTGCTGGCACCCGTTTCCTTTGTACCAATATTAACATTCTAGCCAGTCATGGATGCTTGTCTGACAAAATGACAATGACTCCACCTTAACGACTTCCTAGTCTTTCAATAGCCAGTCAATTGCATTATTAGCAAGAGCCTCATTAGTCATGCTCTGGTCATTCATAAGATAAGACAAGCCGTCCCAGGCATTTTCAGGTCCCTTCGATTGAGATCCTTCCAGTGCCACATGATTGGGGGTATTTGGAGTCCCCGAGTTTTGTGCAATACCAGGAAGCTCCTCGCTATACTCAGCAGACTGCGTAGATACCCTTTCAACACCGAAACTCGATGACATCGAGTCGTGCGTCTGTCTCTCTGCAAGTGAAGAAGAATGTTCTGTAAGGAAACGGGCCATCCAATTATCTAGAACAAATGGGTCTGATATGGAATTACGGCAAGAGTTCTGGAAAGTTCGTAGGCGAGACACCTAAAGTATTTCACGATTAGCCTTTTCGACCAACATTCAAGGCTTTCTTAAGGGCGAGACAGAGAAAAACAGAGATTTATATAATGCTTGGTAGGGAAAAGACTTACAGAGAAGTCCACTATAGGCCAATATGATTTTACTCTCATTAAAAACTTGAAATTGAGGATGAGCCGTTGCCGTGCCATAAAGAGCTCCGAGAGATCATCACTGAAGAGTAAAGAGTGGAGATGAACACAAGAGCTGACGACAGCAATATGTCCATAAATAAAGTAGTCCAACTCACAGTTCTCAAGGCTGGTGGCATAATTTAAGATCTCCGAAACTGTAGCCGCGCTTTCATTGCATTTGGCTGCTTTAGGTTCAGTAGTGGTTGCATCTCGGCCTGCACCCGCCTTAAGGAAGGGAAAGAAGAGCATCTGGCGAAAATGATAGTATCCAATGTGCATAGACAGAAAGGTTCGGCCAAGATGCCTCTCCAAGAAGAAAATTATGTGGTTGTAGCTGTAGGTCAAGTGCTCGGGTAGATTCTCGTACCATTGGTTGAGACGATCCTCCAGCAAAGGGGCCTCCTGGCAATAGTCATCGAGAGTAATCACGCCCCGGCTGAGCTGTCTCAGTAATCCATTAATTTTGGTGAAGATATCAAGCGTCCGTGCCATTTGAGCCCACATATCACACCGAAATGTGGGTGCTAATTGGGGTTTCCGCAGCAACTCGGCAGAAGTCAGGTTATGAAAGAGTACATCATCTACTTCTGGAATCATTTCTGAGCTGTGGCAGGAATCCTCAGGCTCCATGAACATGTCAGAAGCGGACCAGTGGGTGGCAATCCGAACAGAGAGACAAGTTCGGCGATACTCTTCTCGATTTATCGCATTAGAAACTGACTGCATGGGATAACCCCAGAGTGACAGAGCTTCGGCGTGTAGCCGAGCGAGTCCAACGTATATGTGTTTTCTCTGATTGTCAGCTTCACCACTGAAAAAGTATCCAATTAAAAGCAATGCCTGAATTGTTTCCAGGCTTGGAGTATCTGTACATTGGCGACAAAGCCGCATGGCCTGGGAGGCATAAACTTGACCCCGGGAGCAAGGTGACATGTCATGGAAAACTGGGTTCTTCGAGAACCTGTTAATTTACGGTCATCGATCTGAGTGGCGTAATTATCAACTATCCTGAATGCGCAAGAACATACCTGGCAGCTAATGCACACATGCCATAGACATGTTTCATGGATGCTGTACCTTCCTTCATATGGTGCATGAAACTCGGCTCGTGGAACATGGTGTGGGCAATATTGTGAATGTGGCGAAAATATAATCCAACTAATTCATGTAAGACCTCGTGTGTTTTCAGCGCTTCCGAAAAGTCCGGTTCCCATGATAGTGGCATTCGACCAGGAGTGGGATTTTCCCTCCCTGATGTCGATTGAACTGCCACTCTGGCTGGCCTTGTACTATGGTCAAGGCTACAGGGAACCGACAGCAAGTGACAAAGCTGACAAGTATCTCCTTTATTCCCTGGAATACATCGTCTTTTTCGGCTGCTGAATTCAAGGCTCATTCAGCACTATCCTTATGTCAACCCATCAACCGACGGGAGGATTGTACTGCTGTACTCACCGGCAAGTCGAGCAGGCGCCCGCCCTTGCCCTTTTGGCATTGTGGGCGGTCATATTAATGAGTCTAATAGGTACTCCGTAGAGACTAGCGATTTTCCGTTGCAGACAACGATCTCTTCTTACGAGGGAATGATGTCCTCTTTGTATGTTATAATGCCGACACTAGGTCCGATTTTAGCCTCGGGGCTTACCGTTGGCACTATGCCTGTCACGGGACAAGTACTAGAGACCCTAGTATATAATGCTTTATCTCTCTCCTTTCATTCAGTGCGTGACCCAACCATTTTATACAGATTCCATGATATAATATAGTTGTTTCGAGTCCATTAAATCGACGCTACTGCAAATCCGATCAACCAAATTTCTTTTGACCCACTCACAGGACAACACCAAGAAAGATCGCCCTCATGGCCAGTCATTCAGCACAAGGCGATGCTAGACGGCATAAATATCACGATGAGAACATTTTCCTCTTCGTACCCAACCTAATCGGTATGTCCCTTCGATCAGCGACGAGATGCCCCCGGGTAGTTCTTAAAATTCCTAGGGTACGCCCGCGTTGTTCTTGCCGTCACATCCCTCTATTACATGCCCTTGCACCCACGAACATGTTCGCTATTGTATAGCGTCTCTTGTCTCCTTGATGCCCTAGATGGAGCTGCTGCCCGGCGGCTAGGGCAATCAACGCGATTCGGTGCGGTTCTGGATATGATTACAGACCGATGTACAACAACTTGCCTGCTAGTTTTCTTGGCGAGCGCATTTCCCAGGTGGAGTATTATCTTTCAGGGCTTGATTAGCTTAGACTATTCAAGCCACTATATCCATATGTATGCGACCTTGGCAATGGGTGGAAACCGCCAGAGCCACAAACAGATCGATGACAGTCGGCCATGGGTCATGCGGATCTACTACTCTAACACAGTATGCTGGCGATAGCCGCTCATAATTTCTTTGCAAAACTAACAATATATGTAGAAAGTCCTTTTCACGGTGTGCGCGCTGAACGAGCTCTTCTTTATTGCGTTGTATTTACTCTCATTCTCGTCATCGCCGTCGTCGATGGACAACACAAACTTCATGGCATCACAATCCGTTCCTTCAACACTTTGGAGCTCTTCTTGGAGTGCTGGGGCAATGGAGATGGCTCGGTAAGATTTTGAGCAGCTAATATGCCCTGTAGCGTAACCTGTACTTACATTGATTTCAGTGCTAATAAAATAGACGATTCTGTTCCATGGTGTCTACTTTATGTCTCGACGCCATTTATGCTCTTCAAGCAATATGTGAACATGATTCAGTTAACAGAGGCCAGCAAGTGGCTTGTCCAAGGTGACATTGAAGCTAGAAGGAAGGCACGACTTGCGCAGAAAAGAGATCAGTGATGACACTACATATCTCATCACACTAAAGGAACCTTATTATAGGAGCTTGTACGGAGAACTTTGGATATAATACTGCTAGGAAAAGGGACATAGACGTAACAAGGATTGACAGATATACGGAGAATGGCCTCAATCATTTCGCACTTATACATAGCTGAAGTGTGGTTGGATATTCGTCCAGTTGGGTATTTATTAGAATGTTTTTATATATATGGCTCCTAAGTTGTGACAATATTGGGGCCGGTGCAGCTATCTTCGCGTTGCTTTGAAAGAGCTCATCGACAACTCCGGTTTCCCTGCTATCTAACTCCACTAATTGACTAATTCATTTAAAGCTGGCATAACCTATAACAGACGAAGTCTGACGGACTACATAAGAATCTGAGTAGATAACTATTGATTGGTAAGGACAGGAACAATCTACGAACGGTAAATAGCACCCTAGCCCAAAAAGGCTAGTCCCGAATCAGGCATCCAAAGTCCTGACTCAGCAAAATTAGGTTTGCGCAAAGAATATCCAGAACAATCCAAAGCTCCTCAAAACCCGCAATCAAGTCTCCCTCCAAGTCGCAATCTAAGCCGCGAGACAACACCTCCGTTGCCCACATCCGCTTATATTAATATCCCCAAAGAGACGAACGTCGAAACCTACCCACCCACCATGTCTCGCGAAGCTTACCAGGTTCCTTCCTCTTTGGGCGGACAGAATACCTTTGACTCCGGTGCTGGCTCTCTGGATGGCCCTATGGTTGCCTATCTATGTGGCGAGTGCAATGCTCGTGTCTCGTTGAAGAGGGGTGACCAGATCCGTTGCAAGGAATGCGGTCATCGTGTGTTGTACAAGGAAAGGACGAAGAGGTGGGTCTTTCTTCTTTTTTCTTCTTACTAAAGCTTCTCATTGGGTTGTTTGCTGACTTTGTTTGGTTCTACAGAATGGTTCAGTTTGAAGCTCGGTGAAATGGGATAGACCGGTTGCGCGACATTGGCTTTATACCTTTCTTACGATCGTATCGTGTTATGCATTCAGGTGGCGCTTTGGAGTTTGATGGGACAAAAAGATTGAATATTGCGATGCGGCGATGGTTCTGCAGATAACCTTTGTTGAAAGGGACTCACTGTATCTGCGCATCGGCGGAAGGTACTCGTGTTGAAGATTTCCATGAGTAAAGTTATTAATTTCGTCATTCAATATACATGTCCCTATACCTCTACCTAGGCCAATTTGTGAACATAATCTAAAAAAGAAAAGGAAGAAAAAAAAGAGAGAGAGAGAGAGAGACCCTAAGCCGTTGCTAAAGAAATGGTTTACTGAAGGTTGTTCGTCGCCTCAATAAATCCCTCCAAGCACTTAAGGGCTGCGCCACTTTCGACGGCCCATCTGGCTCGCCGGACACCTTCCTTCCAGCGCCCACCGCCTGGTCCACGCTCGGTAATCACCTGGCCATCATCGCCGGGACCCATGTCACTAGTGTCGGATTCACAGACACCCGAAATAACCAGAAGGGCAGCGACGTTCATAAGAACAAAGGTGAGGATTGGGTCATCGCGAGGCAGTTCGTTCCGCAGGATGCTCATAATCTTGGCTGCATTATCTTTGGGCATCTTTCTTCCGAATACGGCAGTCAAAGGATGAGTTGGCAGGCCAAAGTCTGATGGGTGTAGTTGGAAAGTTTCAAATTTGACCAGAGTGCGGGGAACTTGATGCTCGTCCTCGTCACTTGAGCCGTCATCATCTTCCGAACCCTTGTAGGCAGGGTTAGGGTATTCGGTGAGTTTCCAGCAGTTGGTCTTTCCAGCACAGCTGATTTCATCTAGGTCCTCCTCACCGCAGATGACCATTGCCTTTTTGCATCCATTCTGTTTCAGGGCCTCGGCAAAGACCGGTCCAAGGCTCTGGTAGGCCACACCCACCACTCTAGCCTCAATGGCCCAGTCAACAGGATTAGCCAGTGGGCCCATCAAGTTGAAAATTGTCCGTAGTCCCAATGCGCGGCGCACTGCATTGGCGTACATCATACCCGGGTGGAAGTTGGGGGCAAACAAGAATGCATAACTGGTCTTCTCGTACACCTGCGGAAGGTTTTCGGCGCTGACAGCGGAGATCTTCGGAGGAACTGGCGGAATAGCATTGAGGACATCTGCGGATCCAGAGAAAGATGTCTGCGCGCGATTGCCATGTTTGGCCATTAGGATAAGCGGCGAGGCGATGATAGATGCAGTGGTAGAGATATTGAAAGTGGAATGCGAATCTCCGCCAGTACCAACAATATCGCACTAAGGTAGACCACATATCAGGTTACTTTGAATCTATGAGTTGTGGACTCATAAAAATACTTACCAGGCCTCCTTTGTAAGTGCCCTCCTTCCTACCGTGAGCCTTGATGATCTTTTTCAAGGTGGGCCTATCAACTTGAGTAGCGGCCTCGCGCATACGGTGGGAGCATCTAGCGATGACCTCTGCATCTCGATCTCTTCCAGTAGAGTGCAAAAGTGTCAGAAGAGCTGCAGTCTGTATAGCAGAGAGGCGATCCTCGAAAATCAATGCGAATGCTGAAGCAATGTCTGCAGCGTCTACAGGAAGCTTCTCGGAGGGGTAGGCGAGCTTCTGTAGGAGGGGGGAGATAGAGACTTGACCGGGTTGCAGGTCAAAAGGAGCAGCGGACATCTTGGCTATAGGAAAACTGCAAAATATATCCCTCTATACCGTTGTAAGCTCCGAATTGAAGACGCAGATGCGATTGCAAGAATCTCTGAGACTCTGACTCAATTGCACCCCTCATATAGAATCCGTCATCGGCGCAGGCAGAAACTCACCGCCCGGAGATCCCGCTATACCTTTTCGGGAAACCAAGATTTCGTGTCATATTTTCGTCCGAGTTGTATATTCCGGAAGTCACTGTCGTCGGTATCTCCAATTTCACCGGCCTCAGGCGCCCTTGTCCCTCTCAGGAACCGCTCCTAGGATAAATTTACCGTACAAAAACTTAAGTTCTACTAATACCTTCCATTCCCTTCACAATGCCTCCACGAATTCGCCTTTCAAGTGGCTGCATCCCCCAGCCGCTCCGCCGGCAAAGGCTCCTCTGTCAACATGAGCTGCCCATTCTCACAAGATACGCGAGTACCGCTGCGACAGCCACGACCCCCGCCGCGTCGCCTGAACAAATGACACACTCCGCTGCCCCCGTTGCTAGATTTCCTCCGTCTCAACCTCCCTCACATCGCAATCCCGAGTACCGTCGGTCTCAGCTTCTCCGACAATATACATCGCTTATCCGCACTACACCTCTTATGGTGTTTCTGCAGCACGATAACCTTCAGTCTGTGGAGTGGGCTGCCATCCGACGAGAATTGAGCAAGGCTTTACAGAAAGTGGACGAGCAGATTGCCTCCGAGGGACGCTCCCTCCCTCCGCTTGCTCCTCACGTCAAGGTGCAAATTGTTCAGACCAGTATCTTTGAGGTTGCCCTCCGTATCGTCGAGTATTTCCGACCCAACGCCTCCACGATCGAAGCCGGCCAGGCCCCCAGCGCTGTCGACCCCATCACGCAAACGTCTGCCGAAGTCTCTCTCTCCGGATCGAGGGATGATCCCACTCTGTCACACGACCTTTCCCGCGCGCTCATGATGCCGTCCGTCGTATGAAGGGCAAGCACGAATTGTCGCCAGTCTTGGTTGGACCAATTGCAGCCCTGAGTATTCCTCAGATGTCTCCGGAACATCTCAAAGCTGCGCTGACGGTCCTTGCTCCCAAGGCCGCTGGCTTCCCTGTTCCCACTCGCAAGGCCAACCCAGGATGGCATGAGCTGCCCGTTCAGAACGGTCTGAATAAGCTGGCTCTTCTTGCCGCACGTGTGGACGGTAAGGTGTTCGATGTCGACCAGACCAAGTGGGTTGGTAGCATCGAGGGTGGTATGGATGGTCTGCGGTCACAGCTTGTTATGGCCCTGCAAAGCATGGCATCTAGCGTTACCAACACTTTGGAGGGCGCTGGTAAGAGCCTGTACTTCACTCTTGAGAGCAGGAGGAGCGTCCTGGAGGAGGAGCAGAAGGGCCCGAGTGATGAGAAGACCGAGGCTTAAATGTAACGCGACCAGTTTGATTTCTATGTATAATACTACCTACACTTGTACTTTTCCTGTCCGGTTATTAAAGGCTATGGGTTGCTTTTAGCACATGAAGGTTTACTTAAAAACACAAGCCAAATATAGAATGCGAAATTCTCATACAACTGTGCATATCTCCCGGGTCCTTCCCTGACCACGTGCTTTTTAGAATAGACTACATTAACTTCCGATATACAGCATGAACATAATCAGGACTGCGCCGACATGTATGAATGAGCCAAGATTGGCGGAGAAATTACAGAGATATATTCTCTCAACTAATTCGTCAAAACCGAATGGTGCAATTGCGGATATCATTGTGAGTTTTATGGAGGGCAACTAGTACCAGCAAAACAATATTAAGCCAATACACCGTGCCATCTAGTTGCCCTCTTCATGTCTGTCTTGCCTCAGTTTCAGCCGAGCATTCATGCCCACGATGCATCGCACAAGATCCCAGTCACCATCCAAGCCAACCCAATCCGTGACAAGGATACCAGTGGACCAGTCACATTCATCCTTTTCACCGTGCTTTCGGCAGAGATAATCAACTACCGCCGGGTTCAGCTTACCTGCAATCTTCTCTGGCCAAGTACCAAGTTTCCAGAAATTGCTTGCACTCAGGAAGTTAATATAGAATGGATGCGCCTTGGTTGCTTCGGGGTCCGGAAGCACGCCGAACGGGTAACAGGTCTCAGCGGCTCGGAAACAATGCTCTTGCACGTACTGAATCTTTTCTCCAATATTCTCGGTCTCTAGGACTTCGTAGAATCCTGAATGCATATTTGTCCACTGGGGCAAGTCGCGTTAGAGCAGTTGTCGGCCCAACCCGAGGCACAGATTCCCCAGCCTGCGCCTCCGTGTATTTCCTTGAGATGATCCAAGATGTCGAACCGACGGATAAGAACGACCTTACCGCGCACTTCACCGAGAGTGGGGATCTTGGGTTTGGTATACCACCGACTGTCTGGGTGTGCGTAGTGCTCGCTCAGAATTCGGCTGAGCTGCTGATCAGTGTGCTCGCCAGGCCCCTCTCGTTTGAGGGAGATGATTAGGGTCTCCGACGGATTCTGGTTGAGGAATTCGTTTACTTCACGCATCAAGTCACGGAAGTATTTGTTTCCCGTTAAAGAGACGGGGAAGACGCTGTGCACCAAAACTAGCTCATCCTTTTCAGCATCTTCTGGATATTGGGGTTGGACACGGATGTCAAAGAATCGCACGCCGTTTTCGAGCTGTTCTCGCGGGCTGACTGCTTGGCAGCGAACGGATGGCGGCGCAACATGGCAGGTGGGGGAGTTGTGGGTGCCTGGGATCGAGAGAGAGGAGAGCAAGGTGTCGTCCTTCAGCTCGCCCATCCACGCATTCAGGTTGGCGGAGGAGTAGATTGATAGATGGGACTCGGGTGTCACATAAATACCAGTGAGTTTGAATCGAGGCTCGTCGCACAATGCCTTCACTGTGGCGGACTCCGACGTGGGCACGGGAGTCTGGACTTGATGTCTCTCTCCTTCCACTTCGAAGGACCAGCGCACGCGCTCTTTATCCGAGTCGATAAATGTACGAAGCTCGGTGTGAATTGTCTGGAAAGGTTCGACACGAATATCCAAATCCTCATGAACAAAGGGTTCGTTGTCATCTGTGATCGCGGCGACCGGCGCTCTGGTGCGGGTTACATTGGTGAAGACTCGGGTGAAGTTTCTAGCTAAATGTTGGATATTATGATCATGATGCGGATGAAAGCGCTCAATGCGCTTCAGAGTAATTGGCGTGGAGGTGAGATTGCGAAGGGTCAAGTATTCGGCCACCATTGTGGTAGGTGATCGCTTAGGCCACGGTCCCGGATAGCAACCCATAAGTTTCTAAAAGGGATTAAGGTACCGGAGAGACTCGAGAGGTAAATAAGACTGGAGAGTTCGCTGACGCTGCTGGACGAACCAAGTACCAGGCTGCAAGGTTAAATTGGTGCTCATTATTGGCCTGGAAGGATCGGGTTGTATGGTAGCGCTGGAGAATAGCGACGGCACTAAATTAGCCACGATGCGATACGCACCAATCGTGATCGGCGATTTATGGCTTTTCTTGGGATCTTCCGCGCCGGTGGTACCAACCCCCGTTTCCACATGAGCAAACAAGAGTACTCAAGAGTACTAACTCAAAGTATGGGCGACATACCACTGGCAGTACAGGGTTCTGTATCTTATTGCCAAGTTCCTCAGGCAGTCACGCTTTACTGTCAATTATTGGCGTAGGAGACTGGGTCCATTGTTTGAGACCCCGTCCGGGCGTCGACTCGATCTCTTCTATGAATCCATCATCCCCCCCCACTCTCACTTTTTTCACTGGTGTAGTAAGGCTGAGACTGGCAATGTTACTTTCATTGCCCGAGAATCTAGAATTTCTTCCCCCAATTTTCTTTTCCTTGTTCTTTTTTGGTCACCTACCCCTCCTCCCGTCTGAGATCCGTTTCGCGTCCTTCAAGCTTTACCATATTTTGAGTATGGCTGTTCTCTGATACTGTGTGACCGCTCAAGAGCATCTCTCCTGTCAATTGGAGTAAGAATGGCTGTCTAAGGGGAAACGTAGTCGAGAGAGGAACCAATTGGACCCTTCTTAGCTAAAATTTTCGGGGTGATCGCATATCTCGGCCCCAGTCTTATCAACAAAAAGTCCGGTCCGTGGTTTATGTCTCCGCAACACACCGCGGAAGCAAAGATGGACCGAAATGCCCCTTCGTAAAATGCGGAGAGACGGTCACGTGGGATGACGCTGGGGTCGGCTACCGTCGGCGCTCGGGGTTCAGAATGCGGAGGAAGGAGAGCAATAATAATGCACTACCACCATCATTCCACAATGAAATGCTGCGCTCTCCCCTCTCGAAAAGCATTCTCTCCTCCTCCATAACCTTGGGTTGACTTCGGCTCGACAATGAGCATTCTACGCTGCAATGGAGGCCTTTCTGGGGCTCTCCGTTCTTGCCAATCTCGCAGAGTCCTGCCGACAACTCGCTTCCCGTCAACAATATCCTTTCCCCGTCGCACGTTCCATGCTGGTCCGGCTCTGTGGGGGGTCAAGTCTCAGATCTTGAAGGATGTTGGCGAAGGTATGTCAAATCACTCTGCATCTTGTGTTATACGCATTCACCATATACTTACTTACCTTGCACTCCGCAGGTATCACGGAGGTTCAAATTATCCAATGGTACGTCGAAGAAGGCGCCCATATAGAGGAGTGGAAACCTCTCTGTCAATATCAATCGGATAAAGCAGTGGATGATGTTAGTTGTTTTCGCACCAATGACCAATACACAGAGATCTAACAGTATCAGATTACCTCGAGGTACGAAGGCATTGTTAAGAAGCTTCACTTCCAAGCAGATGACACTGTCCCCACGGGAAGGGTACGTAGAACCGCACTACATCCATATTTTGAGAACATGGTTGCTGAGAGAATTCCATTATAGGCTCTGTGCGATATAGAGGTTGAGGATGGAAAATATCCAGATGATAACCCACCATCTGAGCCAGCACCGGCACCGGCGCAACCCAGCTCTGCTCCTGCACCAGCTGAGACAAAACAGCCTTTAGTAGTAGAAGTGGCTGCTGCTACCCAAAAGCCAGAAGCCCCGAAAAATAGTTCACGATATGCTACTCTTGCCACCCCGGCCGTCCGTGGGATGCTCAAGGCACATAACGTGAATATACTAGATGTTCCAGGGACGGGGAAGGACGGACGCGTCCTCAAAGAGGATGTCCTTCGGTTTGTAGCAGCGCGGGACTCTGCACCTACGCCGCAACCTACAATCCCTACAACCCCTGCGTCACCGCAGACAGACACGGCGGTCAACCTAACACCAATCCAGTCACAAATGTTTAAGACCATGACACGGTCACTCAACATCCCCCACTTCCTATTTGCAGATGAGCTAAACATCAACAATATCACTGCTCTGAGAAAGAAACTGGCCAATGATCCGAAGGACCCCAGGAGAATTACCTTCCTCTCCTTCGTCATCAAAGCCGTCTCTCTAGCTCTAAATGAATATCCAATCTTGAACGCCAAGGTTGACACAAGCAATCCCAACAAGCCCCAACTCATCATGCGGCCCAGGCACAATATTGGTGTTGCAATGGACACACCACAAGGCTTGATCGTGCCAAATGTTAAAGATGTTGCCAGCCGGTCCATTGAAGACGTTGCAGCAGAAATCTCCCGCCTGAGCGCTTTAGGTAAAGAAGGGAAGCTCACTCCAGCAGACCTGAGTGGCGGAACCATCACCGTCTCCAACATAGGCAATATCGGGGGTACCTACGTCGCACCAGTGATTGTGTCCAACGAAGTGGCTATCCTGGGTGTCGGAAAATCTAAGACGGTACCAATCTTCGATGAAGCGGGCCAGGTTACCAAGGGCGAATTGGTAAATTTCAGTTGGAGCGCGGATCACCGTGTTGTGGATGGCGCGACTATGGCTCGGATGGCCAATAAGGTCCGGGAATGTATTGAATCCCCGGAGTTGATGCTTTTAAAGCTACGGTAGTTCTTGTATATAGATAGAAGTTCTCATTCAGACCGTCGTCAAATCCACTAGGGTTTACGCACCACTTGCCATACCTTGTCGAAGGGTGTAATTGATGCCCTCATTATCACCGTTAGACATGAGTCGACTCTGATCCTAAGTTCTCTTGCAATCCTGGCGTAAATGGAAGCCATTACCCCTCGTCGCTCACGGATATAAAGACAACGCTTTCCCCTTCTCTTCTTCCCTTTCATCCTTCTACATCGTGCGGGCTGTCCTCATCCCGGCTATATCGAATAATTATTAGCAGCATCTTAAGAATCACATCTTCCAGCCCACGTCAAGGGGTCTTAGGTAGCTTACATGGAGGGTATGGGTTTAATTCCTTTCCCGCTTCTCAACCATGCGGGCACGTTTTACATGCGTGATGTCTGATCCTCGCTATAGGCTGCTCGCATGATATTTACATGGTCTTACTCTTTAAAATGCATTGAAATCCAGAGTAAAACTGCGGGGCCTTAGCGCTACTACTACTAACTACTAGTAGTTCTTCCCTCCTATTCTGATTAAGAACTGGAACCGATCGAACTAGTTAGCCACTATGATGGGTCAATTATGATGTGTAAGATCCACAGTTGCGATAGTTCTACTGCGTATAGCTGAATGTATGAACTAAGCAGTTAGCACGTCGATGGATCAAATTGTCTTAGGACAATACTTCTCTCGAAAACGTCTTTTTTTTTTTAAAAAAAAAAAAGAAAATCCTTTCCCACTTCTCTTCTACTCGAGTCTTTTCTACTCCTAATCATCAAATATATCAGGATATCGATTTTAAAGCACGAAGCTGTCTTATTTGATCAGCATGAAAATCTTACACTCAGCACTCACCACTTTATCAATTTTCCCTACGTGGACTCGTGCAGCTTTTCAACAACAAATTCCCAAAGCACCGCAAAATGGCCGCTGTCCCGACCATCTCTTCCAGATAGAGCTGGCATACTGTCCCGCAGAAGACACGGGACCCCCACCAACCTTACGAAATGAACCGGACATCATAACATTCACCTGTGCAGACAGGTACTGCGTATACACTGATGCGCAGTTCTGGGCGGACGTGGAGTCTCTTTCGTAACGACCGCAGAAGTGACCAACAAAGCAGTTATCCAAGGATTAAAAAAAAGCTACCGACGAGAGTTCGAGACCAACGTCTCAGCCAATGCCTTCGAAGAGCGTGAGGTTACTGGAAAAGGACTCGGGTTGGTTGCAAAGCGTTTTCTGCGAAAGGGCGAGTTGATTATCTCGGAGCCGCCGCCGCTTATAGTACATTTGGACATGCGAGAAGATGTCCCTGAGGAAAAGAGGCTGGAGATGCAGAGAGAAGCCGTGGATGCTCTTCCACCGGGAACAAAAGCAGAGATCTTGGGATTGATGGGGCATTGGGGAGGCGATCCAATTGATGATAGATTGGATACGAATTCTTTCACGGTCACGTTGGAGAAGGCATTGGATCATCATGCGCTTTTTACGCAGACGTCGGTGAGTGGTCCCCTTAGCGTGATGTTGTTTCGATTGAGTGCTGATTAACCACCTACGATAGAGATTGAATCATGCGTGCCGGCCAAAGTGAGATAGCTTTAAAGGGGATTATGAAGTAAAATCGGAACTGACAGACAACACTAGCTGCCTCTACAATTTCAACCCTAAGACCTTGACGCACAGCGTCTACACCGTCCAAGATATTCACCCAGGCCAGGAACTTACAATTTCCTGTATGTTGAGTTCCTCGAATACTTGATCAGTTTCAAGAAGGATCGTTTCCTTATGTTTAACAATATGGACAGACATCGACCCCACAGCAACCTACGAGACGCGCCAACAAAAAATTCAATCCTGGGGTTTCAATTGCTCTTGCTCCACATGCATGCTTCCACCACAAGATCGGGAGAAGTCCGATGAAGCGATCCGATTAATTCATCAATATACAAAGGAATTGAAGGACTGGTCAGATCGAAGTCGCGCCACACCGGAGATGGCGGAAGCCTTGGTCGAGTTGTATCAGAAAGAAGGCCTTTTCTGTCATATTGCGGACGGATATCGATTAGCTTCTCACGCATACAGCGCTATCAGAGACCGGTATAACACTTTGCGGATGGCGAACAACGCTATGGGGTATGGGCTGTTGGCATGGAGGGATATGGGAGCTCGGATGAGAGATGTTCTGCAATTAATAGTCGATCCGCAGGAGCATTGGACGTGGAACCAGAGATCGGGCTAAAAAGACTGATGACGAGAAACATTCTGCCGTTCTCGAAGATATCTCGTTATGTTGGCAGAGTGCAGAAAGAGACAATATCGAATCTATCTTGGACCTACTCCTGCCTATCAGCTAAAGGATACATATCATTTTCTACAGAACGAATATCGCTTCCAAAATCATCACTTCTTCCTTTCCCCTTGAGACTACACGCCCTCTTCCATAGGGAGTAATTGCAAACAAGTAAACCAGCAAGAGAAGAAAAAGCAATCAACGCCAATATCCCCACGTAAATAAGCAGGTCTCTTTGCCGTGAACCCAGCGATGTGGAGATGGCTGGAGATACTACAGTTGCTGTCGTCTCCGCGTCAAATGTACCGGTCATGGACGGTGGTGAAACCGAAGATGTGTCGGCTGCAGCTTCGAGCGTGTGTTTAGCTGCTGTCATGGTAGCTGCTTCTGTGTCATACACTTCGGACTCTCCTGGTAAAGGATGGAGTGGCTGGTTTGAGCCATCGGCGGTTTCACCCCAGAGATTAAGGCGCCAATTTATAAAGATGCCTTTGTGGCCGTTCACATTTGTATCCTTGACGAGGATCTTCCATGTGCCAATTCCTCCCTCACCCCTATTGATGGTCAGAAAGAAAGGAAAGACGATGGGAGGGAAAAGACAAAAGGAGAAAAAGAAAAGACCTACCAATGCGCCACAGACATGAATTCCCAATCGACATACCCAGCCCTGTGCCCATCAGGCATTCTTGGGGTGCTGAGATGGCTCACGATGCCTTTGGGGCTGATGAGTTCTACGCTCAGATCACCTCTTCGGGTATGTTTAACATTCATGGTAACGGTAACATGCTCCAGTCGAGCTATATTCGCCTTGTGAATCATGTCCGATGTGATTGAATAGTAGCTGGCCAATCCTTCATGACCCTCCGGGATATCCACATCTACCTGCTGCCATGGGGAATGGAACCAAGCCTGGGGCTTTACAAGGGTCCAGTTATAAGCTTTTTGAACCAGAGCATAAGCATCTACCTTCCCATACCCCCAATCATGGCTGAACATCTTGTCGCCAGCACCAGCACCAACCTGCCAAGTCCCATCAGATTCATGAACCGGAACCGCCGTTTCAACCATCAGATGCTGAACGTCTCGCCAGGTGAGATCCGGCCGTACACTAAGAGCTAAGGCGATGGCTCCTGCCGCCAGTGGCCCAGCTGCTGAAGTACCGCTGTGGAGAGCAGTACATCGATCTCCATTATCAGTCGTATAGATCCCATCTCCCGAGCCGCTGCTATATGCAACCACCAGTTGAGCAGAACACGACTCCGAATACCGCGGGTGTGTCCCCATCCGATCGATCGCGCCCACCGTGATACTATAGATGCTGTTCGTATAGCCATCGAAGTTACAATTATCATCTTGGCTGCCCCCGTTTCCTGCCGAGAATACAAAGATCGAGCCTTTTCCGCCTCGTCCGTTTTGCACCCCATTTACGATAGCTCGTTGGACCAGAACTCCCGGGGCCTTCATCGTACGGCCATCATCTTCAGGACCCCAGGAACAAGAGTAGATATCATTGTTTTGGTAGTCATAGTTCATAGCCGTCGCTTGATCCACGTCATCTACATCTTTAGAGAGCATCCGAATCCCTGAAACTCGGCTGTTGTATGCGACTCCGACACCGCAAATGTCATTCTTGGCAGCTGCAATTTCCGCCGCACAGAGGGTGCCGTGATGGTCATCGCGAAGACGAGGTCTAGGTTCAGGCACATCATCGTTGAAATCATAAGACCCGTTTGCGTAATAGTTTGGTCGCAGATCCAAGGCGTCTACATCCAAGCCGTCATCAATGATGGCTGTGGTGATTCCTTCGCCGGTCACCCCCTCCAACCAGACCCCGGTCACATTCAGATCGTTCCCTAGTTGCACTGTATTCAGTAGATGCCACTGATACCGGAAGGTCGGATCGGAGATCCCCAATACCGACGCAACTTGCTCCTGGGCTTGGACAGCCTCTGGGTCAGGTTGACCCAGGAGGTAGGCTTCAGACGGCTGAGCCAGAGGTTGCGATGGTATTCTTTTTTGAAGACTTGTGCCGGTTCTCAGTTTTGTTACCCATTGGATGTCTTCATGAGATATCAACAGTGTATCCTCAAGGCCAGTGTGCTTATCTTTGGGAACGGAAAAGACATGGTGTCCCGAGAGCTCGCCGATCGGCCCTGTATATTGGATCCCCCATTTGAGGGCGATCTCTGCCGGAGAGGTTTGGCCGCGCAGGTGCAGGGCAAAATAATCATGAGTCTTGTAGGAACGAGACTGTAAACGGGCATTGACGGCGTTGAGGATGGTAAATCCGAAGACTATCAACTCTGGAAAATTGCGCATGATGAAGATGAATTGGAACCATGGTGCAGGTCGCCAAAGAAGAGAATTGATACGAAGTGATTTGAAAATCCAGAGCTGCAATCCGACTGAGATGGAGCTGCTGAACTGCAGGAACAAATTAGTTGGTTTGTGATACTGCATGCCCTAACTTCTTTCGGGGCCAGTTGAAATCAATAGTCTGAGCGCCATTGAGATATATCTATATTGATATATTTAGATATGTACCGTGTCACATTTTTGGAAACCAACAATCGCCTATATATTTATTCATCACATTGTCTGGCCGCTTTTTTCTCGGAATAATGAGCAATGTCTGGTCTACGTCTCTTGACCCTGCAGCTTTGCGCTGCCACTTTATGCTGTGCGATCAGCTCCAATGTGGTGGCTGAATATGCCACGGTAGGACTATCTGAACAAGATACAGTTCATACACCGCTGCTGATCGCCCTTTCTAGCTCCCAATAGACCACTGGAACGTTTCAGTGGGAACCTACCACAATCGGTACTGGGTGAATGATCAGCACTATCGTGCTGGAGGGCCAATTTTCATTCACGATGTGGGTGAAAGCAATGCAGAGCATCCAGCTCAGCGGTACTTGGGTCAATCGTCCTCCTACCTGGTTAACCTCCTTCGAGAGTTTCATGGGATGGGAATCGTATGGGAGCACCGGTAAGCAGAGAAGTTCCCCTTTCGTACATGTATAGATTATACTAAGGTGGAGTTTACCTTTCACTGTAGGTACTTCGGGGACTCCCAACCGTTTCCAGTCAATCTCACCACCCCTCTTGAGCACTTCAAGTACTTGACCACATCACAAGCTCTGGCGGATATTCCCGTTTTCGCAAGGACGTTTCGTCGTCCACAGATAGAATATGACCTTACGCCAGAGACAACATCATGGGTGATGATAGGATGCTCCTACTCGGGGGCACGAGCGGCCTTGTCTCGTCATGAGTACCCGGGAACATTCCACGCAGCCTATGCAGCGTCGGCAACCCTCCTTGCGCAAAACAATGACACATCATATTTTGAACAGGTCTATCGCGGGATGGTTGGATATGGTTATCGCAATTGCACGAAAGATCTTCACGCGATCATGGCCTACGTGGACGATCAACTATCATCCTCACCAGAGAACGCATCGTCCATCGCACAACTTTTCCTCGGCCCTGGCGCAGAACACAACACCTACGCAGACTTGACCACTGCATTAGCAACCATCTACGACCAATTCCAAGGCCAAGGCATGGGCCGGCAGAGCAGCCCCACATCCCTTGCCGCATTCTGCGACTACCTAGAACAGGACCCGCATACTGGCCTCCCAGCACCAACAACAGGGCTAGTCCCCATATATGGCGCAAGAGCTCTAACAGAGCGGTACGCATCCTGGCCACCACTCACAGAAATGATCAATAAAAGCTACCAAACCAATTGTCGAGATACCAAGACGAATAACAATGCTAATCGCACCTGCGACCTATCTCTGCCACGCTCATCCGACCCCGCGATAATTGCATGGACATGGATGACCTGTACAGAATGGGGAACCAGCGTTGGTCCTAACCTAGGCTCACATGCGATTGTATCTAAGTACCTACTGTCCCAAGAGGGAGAGGACGGTGGCAATCTCTGTAATCGACAATTCCCTGGTGCTGTTGAGTACGGTGCCCTGCCCAGACGGCCGGCAACAGACAGGCATAATAATGGCGTTACTAATAAACTGCATCCTACTAATACGTTCTGGACGGAGGGGGAGTATGATCCGTGGCGTTCGCTGACGAGGCTCCCTCTACCTGCAGATGGTGAGGAGGGTAGGATGGACTCGACTGAGTACATTCTTCATCATGCAGAGCATTGCTATGATTTTAGAACGACGTCAAGTGAGTCGGCTCGTATGGCGCAGGGTCGGTTCATTGGCCTTTTGAGAAAGTGGCTGGAGGGGTATAAGTAGAACTTTTGATGTATATTAGATAGAGATAGGTCTTTTGTGGGGAATGATTTTAGATTTGTTCTTAGGGACCAGAAACTAGGACATCCTATGCAAATTGAAATGGGGTGGTTCTGGTGGCTTGTTTCTTGACACTATGTATCCTCGAGCCAGACTCGAAGCAAGCATCCGGCTAAAAGGATTTGAAATTGTCTTCTCAAATGTATGACGAACAACATGATTGCTTTGAACTAACTAATCTGCGTTCATTTACAAGATAATCCAATGGCATACGCGAATCACCACAAACAACCAACCTCCCTCCTCTCCCCAGAGTACTCCCCGTGGCATTCCGTGTCCCCTGCAATGAACATGGTGATCTAAACTGTCACTTAGCAAAGATCCAGGAGGAGTCACATAAGGACACTGGTGGAACCTACCTTAAACATCACCATTAAGCAGCCTTAGGTGCCGGCTCGTCCTCGTCTCCTCTGTAGAGTATCTTGAAGTTCGGACGCTTGCTTAAAGGCGCCTTAGATCCCGGCTCGTCCTCGTCTCCTTCGTAGAGTATCTTGAAGTTCGGACGCTTGGAAAGAGGTTCACCCTCCGAAGCTACTACATCCCTAGCGATGGGGTCCGCAGGAGCAGCAGCGCTGAGGGTAGTGAGGGTGGCAAGCACAAGGGAGCAGGCCCAAGTGAAACGCATCGTGAGTAGTGGGATAGTTCAAATGTGAGAGGGAGAAGAGAAATTTGAATGATATTTTCCGAGTTTATTGTAGGAATCCTTATTTTGCTTTGATTCAGTGCTTTGATCCAGAAGATGCTTTTAAAATAGTCGGCGGTACTTATGTATTCGCTTCTCTGACGAGCCTTGATGGCAAATCTCAGTCCATGGTTAGAATTCCCACTCAGCATATCAATAATATATGTAAGGGGTATAACTGTACTTCGTATGAAGGCATCATCACACCATCTTTTTGAGCTAATTCGGGCATCGGGCTGTATTCTATAGGTACATTCTGGGACAAGCGTCCCTCCATGATTGCAGTATATCCACTGTGATACGAGGCTTTGGCGAGCTGAACAGAGATCTGCAATCTACAGTCTACACAAAAGAAGCTTAGCTCTCTATGCAAGATGCAGGGGCTGAGATGCTTTCATTGATGACTTCACTCGATAGTAGTTCGTAGCTAGGGCTACTGCTTGCGAACTATCGGAGGATTGCTGCAGGGGGTAGCTTGCAAATCCTGGAAGGGGAACTGCTCAGAGTGTAAAATATGACCGGTCACCCTCATGTAAATACATACGTACTCCACACCACCTTTACTCGGTCAGAGTGGCTTCGCGTGAGAGACACGCGGCCTGCGTGGGCTGGCTAGTACATCCAGCTGAAGCCAGATGCTCGATTCTACCACATTATTACCTGGATGGAAAGAGGCTGCACTGATCTGTCAATGATGTAGTGAGCCCAAAGTAACCCTCTTCTTGGTGAAGAAAACCATATCCTGCTGTTGCACCTGGTCAGCACACATCGTTGCCAGTTCCAATCATGGATTCCAGTTACGTGCCCGTTCGCCTGACAGAAAGCCATGATGAAGAGATATGTGAGGAAGAAGAAAAGAGGCCGCTGAGATCTCGTTTTCAATTTCCCCTGGATTCTCGCTCCAGGAAGAGAACGCCTCGGTTCTGGCTTAACCTATGGTCGCTCTTCAACACGATATTCAGCGTGGCTCTTCTGATCGTTGCTATATTTCTGATAAACCAAACAAAAGGGCTAACTGATAAACCTGTGCCTGTATACTGTGAGTACTTCAAGAGTTTGGCACAGTCAAGCGCTGACATCTATGATAAAGCCCCTGTGCGCGAGGACGGTGCTGAACGGTATATCAATACACGCTACCGGCCAAATAGATTATTCCAGTCTTCTCCATCAGATGAGGTAGACGAGGCTTGGAATGGATGGTTACGAGGTGAGGAAAACTAATGTGGCCGGTCGATCACAGAGAACCACGAAGCAGTTTAAGGGAAGGCTGACGGTTGTTCCAAATCCAAGAGCATGACCATCTGTTCAAGTTTCCGCAAGAGAAAGCGAGAGAAGTCGGACTGCCTGAGACAGTTGAGCTCTATAACGACCCAGGATATGGCGCTTACGGGTTGGGTGTTTATCATCAAATGCACTGCCTGAATAGGATTCGAAAATCATTCTATCCCGACCGCTACTATCCCAACCAGACTCAACATCAATTACTGCACCACATCAGTCAGTCTCAGTCTTGGTTGATTTTCTTCCCCAGTGGTGGTGGTACTGACAGGTCATCCAGATCACTGTTTTGACGTGCTTCGACAAGCCATTCTCTGCCACGGTGATATCTCAGTCGTGTACTGGTGGAACAAGAACTACACGTATATTGATCCCGCTGGGAATCGACAGTATTCCGAGGATTATTTGCGCAGGACGCCTGAGGAACGTGACACTGGATCCTTTGTAACGTGGGATAGTCAGCTCCAATGTCGTGACATGGATGCTATCAATGCGTGGGCGAAGGTAAATCAAGTCGATGATGATAAATATGGGGGACAGGTTGTGGATTGAAACTTGTACGAACATGCGCAAAGACAGTAGAATTATTTCCATTTGGTCAACGTGTTCTATACACCCTATTCCTATTCCTTACCTCTTCATCGATTTATCTTGCAATTCCTATAGAGTATAAATTCAGATTTCTTCCGTAGCACGTCTAGGTTGTCTACTCCATCCGTCGTAGTATCGATCGGTTCAGGTGCTCTGGCTGCACCGATCTGATCCCCGACAGATGAAGAGTAAGCTGTAGATCACCTAATGTACTCTGGAGGACATGGCGGACACCCTCCCTACCTGCGATGGCAAGTCCATACACATAGGGTCGACCGAGAAGTACCATCTTGGCCCCCAGCGCCAGAGCCTTAGCCACATCAGCACCGCAACGTACGCCAGAATCGAAGATGACTTCTAGATCCTTTCCCACTGCGTCGGCGATGTCTGGAAGCATGTCCAAAGATCCCACTCCCCCATCCTGCTGGCGTCCGCCATGGTTGGATACTACTATTCCCTGCATGCCGTACTGGACTGCGAGCTTTGCATCCTCGACCGTCTGTATACCCTTCAGTACGATCGGGCCATCCCAATGCTGGCGTAGGAACTGGAGGTCTTCCCACCCATGGCTTAATCCAGGGAATATCATATGAGCCCATTCAGCCGCTGCAGTTGCCATGTCTTCTTCGATGCTTTTGCCATGCTTTTCCGCGAACTGCTTCCGAAACACCGGATCGGAAAAGCCAATCTCGACTCCGATATTGTCTTTCCGGAGGAATGGGTTATACCCATTCTCCAAGTCCGAGGGGCGCCATCCAAGGATGTAGGTGTCAAGGGTTACCACCAAGACCTTGTAGTTGGCAGCCTTGGCGCGCTTCAACAAGCTTACAGTAATATCATTGTGCTCATTTGACGGCCAGTATAACTGAAACCAGCGGGATCCGTTCCCATTAGCCTCTGCGACGTCCTCAATACTAGTCGAAGATGCAGAACTCAGGATGTACGTTATCCCTTCATCCTGTGCGGTGGAAGCAACAGCAACCTCACCATCACGGTGGAAAATCCGCTGCACGCCCACTGGCGCGAGTGCGATCGGGTACTCGTATTCCTCGCCAAACAGCGTCGTTTTCAAACTTGGAAAGTCTGATTTAACCAGACGGGAGGGAACGATGCCCCATTTCTTGAATGCCTTCCGGTTGTTATCATCCGTTTCTCTCGTTCCAGCGGAGCCCCAGACGTAGCCAAAGCTATCTGCCGAGAGGCGCTCTTTAGCCAGCGCCTCCCATCTGAGAGGATCAAACGTGATCGCGGGCTTCTTGTCATTGAGCCCGTCGGTATAGACTTTCGTCTCGTAGGTGTACGGCAATGGATTGTGCTGGGCTGTGGACATCGCTGCGAAGTGTGTTTGACGTCTCTCCTTTTGGCTTTTTCCGTATTCCGGCCTGATGTATGAAACTCACAGGAGGCTGTGCTTGTAGAGCTCTCTACTAGAAGTGAATGCTCTCACGCCCATTTATAGTTGAGTAACGTAGAGCTTGTCTCGGTACAAGACCGGCTCCCATGACAATGGGCCCGGTCAACCGGCTATGTTCAGCAGAGGTTGTTCATTGATCAAAAGAACAATCGACTCGGGCCGGTCGAGCACTGTACGATTGACGTACCTACAGTCCCATCATATTAAGACCCACTGGGTGGGTTCAGGGTTCAGCGTAGCTGCCGTGACGACCGAGATCTCTTTTCGGCCGATAGAAACCACTACCTATACTACTGTTATGCAGGGTTCTAAGAAGCTTGTCTCTTACCCATTAACCAATAGCATCAGGGACAAAAATGGAGATCCATGTCCTGATTATCGTACGATCTCGGACGGAAGACCAATTGGATATGAAAATGAGTACTACTGGCGTGTGCGCTCAGTTGCCCTTCTGTGGCATGACGTCAACGAGCTCTCGCACTATTTCTCTCGGGGAGAACCAGTCCAACCCCGAGAGACTCACTGTCTGTCCATGAGATTTGAGTCGTATAACGTGTCTAGTTCGGTAAACACCATGGCTATTGGATAAAATATCCATTCGACCGACGAGGACGACTATATCAAGGCCATCCGCTTCAGCCGACAAAGTGGCACCTAGATCCACCAATGTCACCAACACTTGATAGGGAACGGCATTGCAATACCTAGTGCGCGAATAAGGGATTCTCTCTATTTTTGCTGCTACAGCTACACATCAGAAGCAAGAAAATAACAAACGCAAAACATGTTAAGGGTCGGTGCAAGGGCAGGTCGCCCTCTAATGCAAGCCGTCTCTCCCGGACCTACCTGGTCGAGATCGCGTTCGCAAAGGATAAGCAAGCCTTTGATTTCAAGGGTTTTCATGTCGGTGGGTTCTCATTGCAGGCAGGAATCTGGTAAGCATTGTTCTTTCACCCCTAAGGGTATACCCCTGCTAATTAGCCAAAGAATACCATAAACAGGGGACGTCCAGTCATCCACAGCGTAGGCAGTGGACTACAGGTATCGGTATTGCCATTGTGTCATCTGGTATGTGCAGTATACCTGTTGCTCAGCATTAGTATGTTATGACGGAGGATGGCTTTTTGACTAACTAAGCAAATCTCCTTCAGCCCTCCTTCTCTCAGGTCTTACTGGTTATTACATAGGCATTGCAAAAACCCCGGAACCAGCAATGTCATCTACTACGCTGCTCAATGAGTTCCCGGCACCACGTCACGACACTTCTTCCTCCAACATACAAGGAGCAGTGGCAGAGTTCGTTGGTATCCTGGGTAAGGACAATGTCATCAGTGACAAGGAAGCTCTGGCACCCTACTCCACTTCTGAGTGGTCCTCTTATTCTCCCGGTAAAACCGAAGTTTCCTCAGTAGTTGTTTGCCCTTCGACCACGGAAGAGGTCTCCCGTGTGATGGAGATCTGCCATCGACGCAGACTTCCAGTGACAGCATATGCAGGGGGGACAAGTCTTGAGGGGCACTTTGCGCCGACCAGAGGAGGAGTCTGCATAGACTTCCAAGGCATGGACCAAATCCTAAAAGTGCACAAAGATGATCTGGACGTCGTAGTGCAACCTGCAGTGCAGTGGGAAGTATTGAACGAAGAACTCGCCAAGGATGGGCTCTTCTTCCCTCCAGACCCTGGCCCCGGCGCAATGATCGGTGGTATGGTCGGTACTGGCTGTTCGGGAACAAATGCATATCACTATGGAACCATGCGTGACTGGGTGCTGTCTCTGACAGTTGTTCTGGCCGATGGGACAATTATCAAGACCAGGCAGAGGCCACGGAAATCGAGCGCCGGTTATGATCTGACTAGGATGTTCATCGGCAGTGAGGGTACACTTGGCCTAGTCACCGAGGCGACCTTGAAGCTGGCCGTCAAGCCGATGAACGAGGCAGTGGCAGTTGCGTCTTTCGCGTCCGTTCATGATGCAGCCAGCTGTGTTTCCGAAGTGGTCAAACAGGGGGTCAATATCGCCGCCGTGGAGCTCCTGGATGACGTTCAGATGAAGTGCATCAACACGAGCCAAACAACGAGTCGTTCGTGGGACGAGGCTCCAACATTGTTCTTCAAGTTCTCTGGAGCGCCCGGCGAAGTGAAGGAGAAGATTTCGATTGTTCAGAAATTAGCTGAGAATGCTAACAAGAAGACTTTCACATTCGCCCGCAACTCGGAAGAGGTTGATGAGTTGTGGAGTGCAAGAAAGGTAGCGCTGTGGAGTATTCTGCAGATGAAACAGCAGCCAACGGATCATGTCTGGACCACCGACGTCGCTGTGCCCATGAGCAGACTACCCGATATCATCGAGCAAACTAGGGAGGAGATTTCTGCCAGTGGTTTACTTGGAGGCATCGTTGGCCATGTAGGCGATGGGAACTTCCATGGTAGGCGCTCACACGTATGCCAGGGCATTTGAAGTACTCACTAACCACGCCTTGAAATAGCAATGCTTCTCTTCAATGACGATCAACGCAAGGTAGCGGAGAGTGTTGTCCACAACATGGTTAAGCGTGCCGTGGAAATGGAAGGGACTGTCACTGGGGAGCATGGAGTAGGACTGGTGAAGAGGGACTATCTGGAGCATGAGCTTGGTAAAACAACCGTCGATACGATGCGCAGAGTATGTGACAGCCCTCACATTGTTCTCAGATTATTCCTCCCTTCCTATTACTCAAGATTGACTATCTTCGCAGTTCAAACAAGCGCTTGACCCTCTTTGCCTGCTCAATTGTGATAAGGTTGTGAGAGTTCAAGTCCCCAAGCAGGGAGAAATCCCCGAGTGGTGAGCGTCAGTGAATGAAACAAAATAACTGGTATCTCTGTTTTTTCAGTGAATGGCTGCTGTCTGCCTGATTGTTCCCTGGTCGACCTTGACGCGTTTTAACGCCACCTGACCATATTTTTCTTTCTTTACCTCTACCGCTTTAAATACCCTTCATTCCACCTTCAATCTCCTTGGCAATTCTTCTTCACTCTTCCTTGACTCTCAGTGGCCATATATCTTGGGTATCCTAGACTATCATTTGGTGTCTCCTGTCGGCCAAAATGGTAACCAGAGGCCTTGTATTCATCCGTTGCCACGGCAGATACTTCGTCTACTACAATATGTACGATAGTTATCTTGAAGGCCTTGGGGAGGCTATCGAACAACAGATTCCTGCAAATGTTGAAAAGTACCACGGTGAGCTGAACTGGACTAAGAGTTACCGTTATGCATACATGTTTTCTGATCCAGTTCTCTATAGAATGGCTCGAATCAATGCGAAAGGTATTCGCCGTACTTGTCCAGAAGCTCAAAGCACAGTATCTCCCGCTTACCATCCCTGATTTTCCTTCGCATGGAGGCTCTACATCCTCTCTTGCCCAGAGGTACATGAAGAGCTTTCTTGCCGTTGACGACAGGCTTGATATGCCACCAATGCAAACTCTATTACCCCATCTGTGGCGAAGCTGCATCGACTATATGTACACACTCGATCTTGACCGTGAGCTTCTGGGCGTTGACCACTCGGTGTATTTCAAGCTATCTGAGATCCCACGTGGTGGACGTTGGCATCAATACCTTGATTGGGACGAAAACCGCTTCCGTATGGTGTTGCGGGGGGACACCCCTCAAAATATTCTGGGTGATGCTGCCTTGAAACCGAGTATTAACAGTGAAGCAAGGGCCAAATATGATGCCATAGCCATTGAACTAATGCCGTCGGAGGTTTGCTTCGGTTCATCCGGCACGCTGCCCCCCCGCGCGGCCTTGCTGCTGAGTACCTTCTCTTGTATTCACAGCTCGTTCAAGGAACTCCTCGACCCGTTCATCTTGGAATGGACACCCGAGAGTTTTTCGTTCCGAGAAATAGCATTTGCGCTTCTGTCAATTGCTGCTGGAGAAGTGACCTTCGAGTCCGTCCGAGCTCTCGATAAAAACTACGAGACAGAGGGCTACTACATCCTTCCAGATGGTCGCTTGCTTCCATGTTTCCTCCACGAGCGCCATCTCCCCGGCGTTGAGCTGGATCAGCACCTCAAAACCGGACCTATTGGTTCAGCAATATCCTCGTACACCTAGCTTCGAGGCTGGACATGGTCGATGTTGAAAAGGCAGCGGTCATCGAAGCAGTAGACGCCGGACTTGATCAAGGTTTGGATGAATTCTATGCGATGATCTTCTCTATCTCGGACGTTATCCTTGTCCATGTCCAGAAGGGGGACGGTAGAGTGCGTGTTCAGAGGTCAGACTTGATGCCTCTGTTCTGCTTCCATGAGCAGAGCTCTAGGTATCTAAAAGGACCCCGTATAAGGATAACGCAAGACACCCAGCCGCCTATGCCAGGTACCGATGCCAATCATACATTACAATACAAGATACAGATAGAGGACGACACTTCTCGTTGCAGCAAGGCGAGTGACGGCAATGATGACGTGAAGACCATGATTAAAGGTAAAAAGACGAATGTCAATCTTACTTTCATATTGATGGTACAATTTCTGGATAGAGCCGCCCGACTGCGTTTGGCGGATGCGACGTCACGCAAGGTCCCCAATGAAATTCTGACTTCCATCATGCATTTCACGGACACCCAAACGTACAAAAACCTGGCCAATGTGTCTGCCAGTTGCCGACAGTTGAGTGATCGCAAGTTCCGTTTGACTGATAGCTACGATGTGGTTGGCACTGATGCCCAAAGCATGGGGACCTCCCGTCGGTTCATCATGGAAGATATCCATACTGGGGAGAGGTTCTATCCCGAAATGCAACGCTCTCATAGCAACGCATTGGATTTCAGTTTCGGTCGCAATGCCCCGGAGAATGCCCCGGAGAACATGCTTGAATTGTATATCGTGATCGGAGAAGAAAGTACGAGGAGGAGGAATATCATAAGCTTAGCGACCTTGCGGTTCCAAAATTTACCCCCGACAGACACGCGCTGTACCAAATCAGTCGAGATGCCTGTTCCGTAAGTCTTCTTGTTTATCCTACCTGTGAGGGTTCCTGACAACTCCAGGGAGTGGTACTGCCACGATTTCGGAAGAACTTGGGTCGTTCCAACGCTTTTTAGAATACCTGACTACCAGTATCTCGGCTTTATCGAGAACGCATGGGGCAAATACCTCCGCACGACGCTCGAACAAGAGTCTAGATGCCCTGAGTTGGCCAAAGCCGGGCAGATACTTAGCGCCCGGTACCGATGCCTCCTGCCGCTAGGGTACCGTGAGCTGCGCATGGCGCACCACGACTGTAATGGCCTGCAAGCCTTTCTGCGCCACCCACAAGATGAGAGTCATGAGGAATGGATGAAGACCATCGAATATGCAGTGCACCGGCTTAGTCGCAAAGAACAGTACCCCACTGTGTTTCTTGAACGAGGGTGCCCTGCGGTTATAGCCTTCGGTACGAGGGTGAAACTGTTTTACTACGTCTATCACCGCGAAGAGGCACCCGTTCTCCCGCCCAATGCAAGTCCCGCCAATATCCAGTATGCTGTATCTTGTACCGACCCCGAGCCCAAGCATCGTCTAGTGCAGCTTATTCCTGGGAGCGAACCGATCAATTTGAAGCATACAAATGACCTCGTCAAGTTTGAAGAATGGCTTCGGGTCTTCTGTAACAACAAGGATATAGAAACAGAATGGGATCCAATTACCGGGGAACACATCACCATGACTCGTCGAACAAGAGAAGTCAAGGATACCGAGTAACTAACCGGCGGTGATCGAGCATGATATTTCTTCCTTACTGCATAGGCAAAACTAGTAGTAGTAGTAGCAGGCACCAAATTGAATTTGATTATTTTTTTCTCTTTTATTTCCTGAGATCTCTCCCTGTATGTTGGTGATGCCAACTAGCTACTATCCTTGACGTCTTTGTTCCTATGGACACAGTGACCCTCGACTGGCGTAAGTATACTTCGTGCAGTATTTGGTACCGTATTTCTTTTCTCTGTAGATAGAGATGACCTCGTATCTGATATGAAAACTCTGGCATTGCATCCCGGCCACCAGTGAGCGGCACTGTTTCGGGAATGGACAACTGTTAGGGCTAGCAAGGATCTTCCGAATGGCCTCGGACCCGGTTCGTACTCGGTTGGTGTCGGCATATGATGCGTCTGATATCACGTTGGACTATTCGGCTCCTTCTGGATGAGTGGCCGTGGGGCTGGTTCTAGCCAGATATTGTCATAGTAGCTACTAGTTCGCCGTTTCATTCAGTCATTATTTAGCCCCAGTCAAGATGGACATGACGTCACTGGGGAGTTCCCACATATCGTGTTTAGCCAACGTCATGTTCTTGGTAGATCGGTGGCAGAGAGAACGATGGGACAACGTATGTATGTGTGTATGTATGTATGCATATGAGCTGATCGCAGAAAATGAATGTTGCGGCAGTGTCCAGAATCAGACGACAAAGCAAGCGTAAATCTAACATGTACAATAGGTATAATCTTTATAAAACCATGACCAGAGTCAAATCCAACAAATCCAACAAGAACTCCATCCATCGTTTCCAAAAAACCATTTTATCCAAGACGTAGAAACAACGGCAAGATAATAAACTCCACAGACCCCAGACCGGGAGGTCATCCATGCATACCCAGAGCTTCTCGAAAGCAGAATCAAAAGAGCCCCACGAGCAGTAGCAGCAGCAGCAGCAGCAGCAGCAGTAGTAGTAAAAGAAACGCTCACACAAAGAACAGCGGAGAACTCCAAAAAGCAACGGAGAGAAAAAGCAAGACTACTGATATTCAGCCAGCTTATTCCCCACGGCTTCCAGGACCTCGCGCATGACCTGCTCCTGCGGCACATGGGCATCAATGGTCAGCGCATCCCATTCGCCCTGGGGCTCCTCGAGATCTTGCAGTTGCGACTGGACCATGGTGCTCTTCATGTAGTGGGCCTGGCGGGCGGCAACGCGCTGCAGGAGGGCCTTCTCGTCCAACTTCAGGTAGACGAAGTGGATCTGCACGGACGGGGAGCCGTACGCAGCCACGCGCATGACATCACGGTACTTTTGCTTCAAGGCCGAGCAGGCAACCACCACGCCGGACGGGGGGTGGAAGTTGTTTTCCTCCGAGGGCGAGAGCGCCTTGATGGCTGCGTTGCGGAGTGAGATGAGCCAGTCCCAGCGGTCTGCGTCTGTGAGGGGGATGCCGCTGCCCATCTTTTCCTTGTTCTTTTGCGAGTGGAACTAAATGGAGCCCGTTAGTTTGGGGGGAATTCTACTTCAACCATGCGGAGGTCTTTCGTCGGCTTACATCGTCTCCTTCTAAGAATGGGGCGTTCAGCGCGGCCTGCAGGCCTCGTCCTACCGTGCTCTTTCCACAGCCAGCAGGGCCCGTGACGACCCAGATGTGTTGCACCTGTTCCGGCTTAGGTTGCACGGTCCACATCGGAGCAGTCGAGTGACTCAGGGACGATTTGGTGCGAGCGGCAGCGGCATTCTTGCCGAGAGCCGGCTGGGGCCTTTCTCCGGCGGAGAGCATCGTGAGTTTGTTTGTGTTTGTTCTTTTTTAAGGTGGAGGGGAGTGGATGACGTTGTGCGATGGGCGCAATTCGTGGGAGAGGTATGAACGGTTCGACCAATGGGTTGATTTGCGGTGTATACGTAAGGGATGGGCGGACAGAGAGAGAGAGAGAGAGAGAGAGAGAGAGATGCTATAGTGAAGGGGCGGTGGGAAAGGCGAGAGGAATGGAAACCGAAACCAGGGATGGGAGGACTATTAAACTAGCAAGTGAAGGAGGGAAAGGAGAATCACAGAGCACAGAAAAGTAGGAACTGAAAGGGCATAAATCTCCTTCAAACGTAAGTATCAAATTTGGGTCGGTGGGTCAAAGGCCGGGGGACGGTATTTTCATTTTATATTGGGAACTGGTTGGTATTGGGTCGTACAAACATGGGGCAAGGAGACCTTCATCAAACTAGCTATATTATGGGATCATTAAATAACACCTAGGGCAGTAATGCGCAGTAATGACAATAATGACAATAGGAATTCTAGTAAAAAAAAAAAAAAAAAAAACACCCTCGAGTGGGGGGGAGGAAATATTCAGCAGGGACGAAGCAACCAGAACCCCCATCATTTGAAACTGGGAGAAGAGTCCAGCGGTCTGGTCATTAGCGGGAGATCCGATATAGTGTCAACGATTAGTACCTTAGTATTTATCCACTCGCCGTACCATACATACCGTATCAACTCGGTATCTTTCCGGATAAAAGTCACGACAACTCTTCCTTGATGGCAGACCTGGGGTCTAGAATGCTGAATGAAAGGATATCTACCGACGACTTCCCCGCTTGATTTTGAATTTCAACAAAGAGGAATACGAAAGCTCCAACTCAACTTGTGTGTCGTACAGTCGGGAATGGCGGCAATTCTCCACGAGGTTCAAATGCCGCCGGTTCTTGGGAGAATGATGTCATGTACTACACACCCCAACTCCGGGGGCTTCGGAACGCATTACCGTACGTTCGAATGTATCGGCGAAATGTTACCGTACCAGGCCCAATGGATGGGGGGACTGGTTCCCCCACGCTATGCTATTTTGGGCATGGGTCGCCTTCCGTTGTCTTTCGATGATGTTTCCAGGGGATGGAACAAAAATTAAAAATAAAAAGAACAGTGTCAGGCCCGAACCCTACTTGGGAACTATGGGTACAATCCATCCAGGGGAAAAGCACCTGAAAGATACTCTGGACGGTCAGGACAAGCTCGGCGACAATCAAAGCTTCTACCAGTGACTATTCACCCCCGGAGTATAACTATTCTCTCCCCTTGTTTTAACTTTCCACCAGGAAACACGGGGTACCAACCTCGGAGTACCAGGCAGCGGCGAAATTAATGGACCAGTACTTTTGTATCAGGTCGATAGATCAATTTGACACGGGAAGAAAGGACAAAACATCCTTGGGAAATTTCTCCGCGCCCTTTTCCCATCTTCATGAACAGCGCTCCTGTCGTGTGACACGAACAGGCTTAGACCGCCATTTGGCAGATACGTCGACTTGTCCCCCCAGAACGTGACAATTATGCAGCAGACTGACAGGGCGGATTCCGGGGAAGCCTGTGGGCATGCAATGCAGGTCAAACCTTCTCAGACGTAGGTCGTATTCCGACAGTGCAACCTTATTTGTTGTTCAGGTTCATGTACGCCGGAAATCTGTTTCCAGCGGCGGCTCCTCCGTCCCGCCAATGATCACCCGAGCGTTTCCAATGTGTATGTGCCCAACAGTGCAGCTCAAAAGCCAGTCTGGGGAAGAACAGGACAGGGCACGGATGCCACATTTAATGCGCCTGACCCCTCTTTCTCAAAGGCATAGAGTTGTAGGAAGTAGTACCGAGGATGGATGTACATACTTCAATCGTCGTGGCTCCTGTCGATGAGGCTGTGGTTGACCGGATCATTTTCGTAATCGCCTGGGGCTGACCGTCAGGTGATAATTAATGCTCCCCGTGCTGATCAGATTTTCCTCCAGTGATTTATCAATCTTATCATAATGTCTATCTTATATGGGGGAGGGCGGACACCATCATTGGTACACTCGACATGGACAGCGTGACCGCCGCCATGGCATCGGGCAGCAGAACTACGCAGTACAGCTCGAGAGGAGCTTTGGCCACGAACGATATAGTAGTACAAAGGGCTCATGCGTCGTATTCTAAATGAGCAATGTGATCATCGAGAATCCAGGATAGGATGTTGGTGATGATGTAGGGCTTTCTCTAGCCCTCTTGCAATCAGTAGATAAGCATCCAGTTGGGGAAGGCGGTGAATTACATAAGCCGTCAGGATGCCAAGTCACGCCCCGAACCGTTGGAAAGCGGTTGGCCATACTCGGGATATCCAATTCTAACTGGTGACCTTAACGACTGCACGAACTCCAATCTAGCTTAGTCGTCCTGTCAGCTCTGCAGTGGTCATTGAGCCGTCGTCCTGACCCCTTGATCCACGATGACCTCCCTCTTCTTCTCCACCCCCGTCGACATTGACGTCGTCCTCGAGGATAGCGATGAGCGTCAGACGGTGGATGTCAAGCTCGACAAGGGCCGTCGCGAGAGAGTCCCTCTGTATATGGATGGAGAGTCGGTGAAGGGTGCCGTTACTGTGAGACCCAAGGATGGAAAGCGATTAGAGCATACGGGCATTAAGGTGCAATTCATTGGCACGATTGGTATGGAACTCTGGTTTCGTCATCATCTACCTCCCGCGCATCCTCGCGCAGCATCATCATCATCATCATCATCATCATGGTCACCGTCCATCGTGATTATACCGTCAACAATGCTACGCTCAACATACGCTAACACAAAACTTTCTCCCAGAGATGTTCTATGACCGCGGTAACCATTACGAGTTCCTCTCCTTAGTGCAGGAGCTCGCCGCCCCCGGAGAGCTGCAACACCCGCAAACGTTCCCCTTCAACTTCAAGAACATCGAAAAGCAATACGAGTCATACAATGGCATCAATGTGAAGCTGCGGTACTTCGTCCGGGTAACGGTCTCGAGGCGGATGGCGGACGTAATCCGAGAGAAAGACCTATGGGTGTACTCCTATCGCATGCCCCCGGAGACCAACAGTCCCATTAAGATGGATGTTGGTATCGAGGATTGTTTGCACATCGAGTTCGAATATTCCAAGTCCAAGTATCACCTCAAGGACGTCATTGTGGGGCGCATCTACTTCCTGCTGGTGCGATTGAAGATCAAACATATGGAGCTATCCATTATTCGACGTGAAACGACTGGATCTCCCCCGAATCAATACAATGAAAGTGAGACTTTGGTGCGGTTTGAGGTAAGCTTGCGGCTGTTCTCCACGACCCCGATTTGCACGACAGGCCATTTACTGATTGATTTTGCGATAGATCATGGATGGTTCGCCCTCACGAGGTGAGTTACGAGAGTTTCTACCATAATCTGAGTTATCTGCTAGTTTCTTGTGCCTATGGCCATAGAACCCGCGGAGGACCGGGTGTGACAGCACTTGTACTAATCAGAACCAGGCGAGACTATCCCCATTCGTTTATTCCTCGGAGGGTTTGACTTGACGCCAACCTTCCGAGACGTGAACAAGAAATACTCAACCCGCTATTATCTCAGCCTGGTGCTTATCGACGAAGGTATGTTCGCGTGTATCCGTATTTTTCATATTTACATGCATTTTACCCTGGTTTTCTTTCCAATACACGAATTCGTTTTTCACCTCACGTGCCGATCAATCTTCTTGGTCTCTGTCGTGGGCGGGTGGATACGCGGGGCCTGAAAACCTCAGGCTGCCGCTTTCTTTCGACCCAACATCCCACGGCATCCCACTCTCTGGGTCAATAACCGGTCGGTTATTGACCAGTCGTCGGGCCATTCAAGAGCGGTTAATCGGGCCGGGAACTCGCCAAAGAGGTCGGCTGAGTTGAGGGGGTTCTCTTCCGACCTTCCCCCCGGTTGGCCGCCCCCACGCTAATCCGCCTCTGGAAATTTCCTCGCGTGGTCGGCCCCACCCCCAGTTTCCACCGATTTTGCAGAAAGAAACACCGGATTACCGAAATTTTCTAGTCACCAGCATACTGACCCCCCATGCCTTCCGAATAGATGCCCGTCGGTACTTCAAGCAGTCCGAAATCGTCCTGTACCGTCAGGCTCCCGAGATTGCTACCACGCCGCAGATCGCTCAGCAACAATTGATCCAACAGCAGCAACTCCAGAACCAGCACCAGCAACAGCTGCCGCCGGGATCCGCCACCGCAGGCCCTGGACGGGAGCCGTTACCTAACCCGACCGTCACTGCCCCTGTGGCATAGTGTTCTGAAGCCGATCTAGTTATGCTGTGTCTCATTTGAAGATGATGACACCGTCTTCATGACTGCCGAATTGCTTAGTGTTCTACATATACCCAGTCTAATGCTGTACTCTGGCCCTGTTCACCTATCAGCCTGTCTTGACCTATCGTTCAATTCCTATTTTCATATCGCAGTACTCGCGTAAGGGATGTCGCTTCTGTGGTTTCAACTGGCCCAAGTTCTTGAGCGAGTAGCTGGGCTTCGATTCAACGATGTAACGTATGATGTGAAAGGACAAAGCCTTCTACTGTAACCTAGACATGACCAACATTCTCATGTTTCCTACGTAAAGGAAGTAAATATAGGGCACTGCCAAACTAAGACAAGACAAATTAAAATAAAAGTCTATAATTCTGAGTACCTCCTGCGGTTCGTAGACCGAAATCTATATTAAAAGCCTCCGACCTCATGCAACACCTTCCCGAGAGCCGAGAGAACTTCTCCATCGTCTCTTTCCCTCCCCGCTACCTGCACCGCTCGCACAACAAGCGGGTATATCCATTCGAGATGCTTTTTATAATTCTGCTTGCTGGAAGGAGTTGATTCCTTAACCAGCATAGCTGTACTCATGCCCATTGGTGGGGAAGAAATGGCTGAAGGTTCGCTTCGCAGACGCACCATCCCCGTAAGGAGGTGCAAAAGTACCTTTCGAGCAGGTGTGGGCTGAGGCATGAGTCCGCGCAGGGGTTGGTCTGCAACATAGCCCTTCAGGGATACGGCACAGCGGAGGATCAGATACGGGGTGATGGAACGAGCGAGTGCAATGTGTGACGAAGCGTGTTTCGAATCTTCGTTCGAGGGAGTCGACGCCAGTTCAAACAATGTGTCGGTTACGGCGTACGCCATTTTGGTTCGTGAAGTCGGTGGGGGGTCGAACGTCCTTCCGGGACGGACCTCGTACAGCCCTTTGAGGGGGTCGTCTTCCAGGCCTTTCTCCGGGAGATCAAATCGTTGAGGCAAGTAGATGAAGGACGAGCCCAATAATGCACGTGCGAAATCCTGTCGGATGGTGTCTGGGATGGTAGATGCCCCAAGAGCTGGGATAATGAGCGTTTTCAGTCGGTTGAAGGAGGCAATATCGAAGGATTCGTCTGCAAATACCGTTTCCCTAGGAATAGGAACAGTCCGGTAACCCCTGGCCGAGACTAAGCCATTCACGATGTCCACAACACATTTCCAGAAGCGGGAGATTTCTGGCTGATTTGACTTCTCGTACTGTTCCTCGACATAAGGAATGGCTACTTGAAGTATGTTTAGGGATGTTGTCGTCGACTTTTGCCACAGCATCGGCTCGCGGTCCTTTCCAGGCCATTCATATCTTTGCAGGATTGGGTTGGCGAGATGCTCGAGAACAGCTGCCAGAGAGCCATTGCTAAATATATCCCTCTTGATACCATATTCGGTGATATACCAGTTCAAGAGGTCTACCGTACTTTTGGAGAAGGCAACGTACGTCGGTTTCCTCGGATCGCTCCCTGGTGACCATCTCGTCAACGCTGAATCGGCGAAGTCTGCAAGACATGCGATGATTTCTGCTTGGGAATCTTCCTTATCTGCACAGAGGGTTCTCATGCAATCAACGATCGATGACTGCAGGTCAGATGGTCGGTCAATATCCGGAGAATATCGTGGTGAGATAGAATTCCAAGCAAGATATCGCATATTGTGGAGGATTTTGCCAATATCACCACTTGTCAGATCATCCTTGTATAAGCGATACACTTCCTTGAAGGCCTGTAGATAGGCGATTGTGGCAGCTTGATTTGAACGATCCAGGTCCAGCAGATCTTCCCTATCAGCAGGGTGGCCGCTCAGCCACAGGGCCCAGGTAGATTGCAGCGACGATTTGTTAAACATATCTGGAGCCTGCACACGAACTAGAATACTGGACAGACTTAGGTACACCGCTTCACTGAGCTCTAGTATCTGCAAGGCGGTTAGCTTCTTCAAGTAAGCCAAGAGCCGTCCCCAGGATCGATCGAACTCCTCGTCTCGAATGATTGCTTCGAAAAAGTTCGTGATGAGGTCAGACAGTCCTTTGATGGTAACAACAGACGTTTCCACCCATGACTTGAGTTCGTCGGAATCTTTCTTGGTGCATTGGCCCCGTACTTCTTCCAATCCCAGTTCAACCTCTTCCGTCATCCGGAATAACACACGATTGAGACATAAACGCCATGCTTTAGGAGATAGTTGTAGACCATAAGCATCGAAAATTCTCAAAAGAGTCTGAACTGCACAATTTCGAATCTCAGCCCTATTATCTGTTGCAAGATCTACAATTCTTAACAGTAGTAAAAGCCACAGGGCATTCCTAGAGATGGAGGAGTCATCGCCGTTAGCCAGTTCCACGAGCACCTCTTCCCTTACAGAAGCATCGACTCGAGACTCAATGGAAAAGTTTTCAATTTGTCCCTGAAGAAAATCAGAAACATTCCAGAACGACGAGGTCGTAGTCAATGATATATTGAAATCTTGTTGCTGTAGAGCAAATTTTGAAAATGATTCCACAAGGTCCAAGCGACAGGGCTGCGGAAGTAGCGCAATGAAGTCGGAGGCAATTAGCTGCAGGGACTTATAAGCAATTCGGATCAGACGATGCGAGTCCGCAACTAGACTAGTTCTGCGATCTTTGCCAGCAGCCCCAATCTCTCTTTTTTCTTTCACTGGACAATGTCCAAATACACTAGAAATAAGGTCAAACACGACGACCCAGCCGCCAGTGAAGGTTTCCGCATATTGTTCTAGGATATTTTTTAAGGTCTCCAGGCTTTGCTCATGGATCTCAGTAGTCGGCGGAGACGGTGATCCAAGTGAGCAAGCACTTTTGTCATAGAGAATGTGAATCTGGTCCCTCAACGTTTCGAGGTTCCTCATTTGCCGAGAGTTGCGCGCTTGGTCATCATCGCTGCCCATCTGCTTCATAGTTTGGAATACAAGAGTATTGAGTACATCGTTGGCTCGTAACCGGAGGTTTTGGCTAATCGATACATCCGCCGCGGTCAACATAAGTCTTTGCGTCAGTATTTGCCAAGCTTCGTGATCGCTCTCAACTAGGGATGACAGTCGTTCTAAATTTGCCCTTGATAGCTCACCCGCTTTGTCCAAGACAAACTTTAGTTCCTCATCTTGGGTCTTGGATTTGCCGACGACTAGTGAAACACGGCGGGTGTTTCTGCGCACAAAACCAGGTCGGAGCTGTGCCGACTGAACATTACCAGTTGTCTTCTCAGACGACTCTCCTGATTGGGGCACCTCCGTTGCTTCAGAAAGATCTAAGAGTGCAATTAAGAGCTCTCGGAACGAATGACTCGGGTATTCACTCGTGCTCTCAAGCATTTTAGCAGAGGCTGTTTGAACAGCAATGATCTCGCCCCCGAGGCTAACCTTCGAACCATCAAGCGCGCCTGGAGTTTCAGCTCCGGTTGAATATGCATTTGTCAACAAGCCAGTATCCTGCAGCGTACCGAGGATTATAGACCAAGCCGGCTGGTCTAAAGTAGGCCCTAGAGCGATTCCCAAGTTCAGTAGCGCACGCAAGCATAACAGATTCCTCGTGTTGATAGATACCGATGGGGCATCTGGCGGTGCTTCAGACACTGGAGAAGTAAGGGATATCTCTCGGCTTTTCCGTTTCTCCTCTGCTGTATGAATATGGTGGGGAGCAGACGCGATTACCGATAGGGCCATGCCGCTTGCATCAACTGGCATAGCTGCCTTTCCAAGAGTTGTCAGGAAAGCATCCCTAGGTGTAGATAATCTAAGGAGGCCAGCAACATGGGCCAGTTTCTGAAACGATCGAACCAGGTTGTGGTAGAAATCATCATCTAGCGAAGCATACAAGAAGGTGGAGCATGCTGCAAGGACAGCAGGCCAGCAATTCTCGATTATTCCGGCACAAGTCTTAATTGCCGGAAATTGAGGATGAGATTCCAAGTCCAAAGGATTAAGCGGCACAGGGGATTTCTTATTGTTCAGCCTGTGAGCACTTTTTGACGAGTTCGTCCTCTGAAGGTCATGAGAGGGCCTAGGAGAATCCATACTTTGGTCTGGGTTTCCAATCCGACTTCTCCGTTTTTGTTTCAGATCGGGCACCGTCAGGGGAAGGATGAACTTGGCAAGGCCTTCTGCGAACGAAGAAATGCAATTGAGCACAAGGCTATAAATATACGTGTCGGGGGGCGGTGGAGGATCGGTCTTGTCGAGCAGCTCCATGTAAGGCGTACGAACTATACTCCACTGACTACTAATGCCCGGAACATTTGTGTCAGTAGACGATACTGACGTTCCAATAACGCCAGCGACGCCACCCGCTTCAAGAGTGATCTGTTCTTCGGTAATGGACCTCGAGTGTGCAGCCTTCGAAGGCACGGTTGACCGACTGCTGACGCCAATCAACGACGGCTTCTCAGATGCCAAGCGAACGAGAGCAGCCATGTGTTCTTTGAGGATATTCTTCCTCCGCTCGTCACCATCGTACAGTGAGTAGATGATTCGAACTAAACCAGGCTCGGCATACAGTCCTCGAAAAACCTCCATGCAAAGGACGCGCTTCCATGGCAGATTTCCATCCGGTTCGAGAAGGTGTGTCAACAAGCCAAGAGCCATTTCACATTCCGCGGGAAGAAGAGACATATGACGCTTGAGGAGGACGAGAAGAATCCGCGCAACTCGAATAGTCTGAGCGAAAGAGTGCCTTTCGGATAAGTATCTCACAGTCATTGGCATAAGCCGGGTTCGCAGCACATGCGCAAGCTCGGCATGGCCAACAAAGAGACGGCCGCTGTTGACCAGAACACTTTCGATAAGTTCTAGTGTGAATGTTGGAGATAGTGACTTGATCCGTAGAAATTGCAGCTGCTCGCCATCCGCGAGTCGACAAAGATCGTCCAAGACCTTCAACATATATTAGTAGGGTGTAACGTAGCATCGGGCGCGGTGCTCACTCGTAAGGCATCGTACGCAAAATATCCGATATCTACAGGGTTTCCATCGATTTTGACGGTTACCTTCGGCCTGGACTCCTGGGGAGTTTCTGGAAACCGGGTCAGCGGCAAAGTATAGTAGGGCTACACCTAGATCATGAGAACTGACTGTCTTCGATGAGGACTCGTTCAAATGTCGATACTATCAGCTGTTGCAAGGTAGCCGCTGCTGTACTGGAAAGCGCAAGGGTCTTGCTTGCTTGTAGAGTGGCACAGATCTCTAATGTAGTTACAAGAAGCTCCCCACCCAAGTCATTTGAGTAATGCTGTAGCAGAGAAGGTAAAGACTGTAGGATTTTGAGTTGTATATCCAAGCCTGGGTGTGATTAGTATTGCGTGGGCGCAAAGGGACTAACTAACACCTACTTAGGTTCGTTGTTTCTTTTAACCCAGTAAGGACATCTTTCAGTCTCTCAGATGGTAGCGCTCGGGATGCCACCAGCCTTTGCAGGCAAACAACTCCAATACCCGCGAGCTTTGCATGACGCGTATGGCAAGCTAAGATAAATGGATCGACAAATTTAGGTTTGCGTACCAGATCTCTTAGGCTCTCAGTAAATCCACCGATAGTTGACAGAGACAGGATGTAATTCCGACTCACCGGCAGCAATTTGAGACTCCGAGGTTGAGGGCAAAGCCTTCAGCTCGTTGAGAGACGCTTCGGCCGCCTATCTTTCAGTCAGCTAGAGTCTAGGATATCCCGTTTGACCGGCAGTTAGCTCACATGTCGGAGGTCAGAATTCTTTCTCTTGGACTCTTGAATTAGGTTCAAGAGTTCCGTCTGTAGAAGCTGAGAGGACATTTCCAACTAGTTGTTGGGTCAGATCATTGCAACCGTCGTTTGACGTTGCCTGGAGCTCGGAGTTAAGTAGAAAACAGATATGGTTTCATGAAGATGTTGACTGATATTTGGTTTTTAAAACCACGAGAACTACAAAAATGGCCCAGCACCTCGTGAGCAGATAACACCGGACGCGTTCCTAGGGATGACAGACGGACCACCGGTGCTTTAATTGACACCGGAGTGCAAAGTGTATGCCTTCCCAACAACAAATCCACCATAGCATCAGGCGTGGCATCTCCGGGACAGCCAAGACGCTAACGGAGATAGGCTCCACACGTGACGCACCCAATCCGTTATCATCACGTGGGGTGACTCTTCAGGCCGACACGATACGCAGGGCAAACCGGGCGGTATTGTTGCTTGCAGGTGGGATTTGAGCCCCTCCTCCACTTCGGTCAAAGAATTCCATTTCCCACCCCCATCTCTTATATTCTACCAAAGCTATCTGTGCAATCTCCTTTTATAAATCACGCATTTCTATTATACAACAATGTCAGCTAAAATTCCCAGAAACTTCAAGCTCCTTGAAGAGCTCGAGAAGGGCGAGAAAGGCCAAGGAGCAGGTAAGCGTGACATCCCACCTACGGTTACATGCGCCATCCCGCTGATGTATGTTGCGTTCACAAATCAGAGGCTTGCTCCTACGGTCTTGCGGACGGAGAAGATATGATGATGAGCAACTGGAACGGAACTATTCTCGGCCCTCCTCATGTTTGTCTTCCGCTGGTTCAACCAATGTCGTACAATATGGCAACGTCACTAATGCGGCAACATCTAGAGTGTCCATGAAAATAGGATATACAGTGTCAATATCCATTGCGGTCCCGATTACCCGGACAATCCTCCTGAGATCCAATTCATCTCACGGGTCAATCTTCCTTGTGTAGACCAACGAACCGGCAAGGTGCGGATTCCCATTATATCCTTGATATGCTGATGACCTTTGACATTGATTCGTGCTTAGGTCGATCCCACAAAGCTGCCGTGTTTGGCTCAATGGAAGCGCGACTATAGTATGGAGACTATTTTGCTCGAAATGAGAAGGTATGCCGAGCCCCGTTTTTCCCGTTATCTCAAACCAACGCTTAATATCTCAGATATATGGCTCTTCCGCAACACAAGAAGCTCCCTCAGCCTCCGGAAGGCTCGAACTTCTGAGTCGATGATCTTGCAGGATACATGATCGGAGTATTGTGGTTAGTTTTGCGTCAGGTCTCGTCATCTCATCCTTTCTCTTCTTTGATTATTAGAGCGTGTACAGTCTATGCATAACGGCAGGCATGGCGTGAACTCCTTCTGAGTCTTCAGTTCATTATTATTTAGAATATCTCGAAGTATCTATATGCCTCCAAGTGGTGGACTTGCTACCTCGATAGGCCTAGGTGGGTCAAACCCTCGACTCTTGATTTGGGAAGAAACTAAATGCACAAATGCCCCGAACCATCAAGGCGGTAGTAAATCGAACTTGTGTGTGAACAGATTAGATTTGGGAGAATCTCGAGACACGATACAAGTGTTTCATACAAGGCATGATATCCAAATGAGGATAGAATTCTTTTGCGTATGTGCAATTGCCAGAACGATTGACCACAATCGTAAGAGTTGCCTTGTTGGTCTCTCTTCATATACTAGCCAAGGTCGTGTGCGCGATTTCCCTATAGCACGTGACATCACTTGGTAGGCTTGATCGTCACATGTCCCCCGTAGTAATCCTCTAAGCACTCTCAAACAATGCATAAAACCGTAGTCCCCAGGAAGTCTGGAGTGCATAGATTCGCCTGTAAGTTCAAAAACCATGTCACCAAATCTGCACCATGTCACAATTAACACAAGTCTCGTTCAACAGGTTTAGCACTTTATCGGGCACTTCTCCGACAATGCGCAAAATTACCGAACACTGCGCCGGAGCTTAGCACCTGCAAGCCACTCATACAAAAAAAAGTTCCAGAAATACAAGAAACTCCAAAGCCCGTCACAAGCAGTCAATGCCTTGAAAGCCGGGTATGAGGTATATACATGTTGTGCGCGATCTCTCCAGCAAAGAACCACCCCCCGTGGCTAATTCTTCCCTATCTTAAGGCTCTCGACCTGCTTCATTCAGCCTCTCAAGGAAATCAACGCAATACAAATCGCATTGTCGAGCTCATATCAGAAATCCAGTCGATAAAGCAGAGAGAATCGGCGCTGCAGAGAGAGCTCTCTAAGAAAGAGCCGAAGCCGTTATCTCGGAAGCAAGAAAAGACAAAAGAGGCTCGGCGTTTACAAGACCAAACCGCCCGACGACATCCGGATGCCACTTCTATTCTTTCTCGTCCTCGACCCGTCGTGAGCGGCAAGCGTCGAGTACCCGTTCTTGTAAACGCGCGGGGAGTGCCCTTCCTGCGTATCAAAAAGCCCCAACCCAAGAATTTAAGCGGCGTGATCCGGTCAAAACTTGAGAATCGATGGAGCCGTATCGAACGCCGGGATAGGCTGGACCGGGAGTTACTGTTTGCTAATGACGAGGATAATTGGGACGCTTTGACGACTGGGTCTGAGTCCGACACATGGACTAAAGGGGTCAAAGACGCATTGGGAACACTTAATCAGCAAATCCATGATTCTGACAAGAAAAACATAGAACTTGCAGAGGCCATGTGGAAAGTTGTTCTTGCCGAGCGCAAGTTGGCAGCTGATGAAGAAAAACAGAAGTCGACTGAAAAGCCAAGTGACACTTGATTTCCTGTCTATGTCCTGACTCCTGATGCGGTAAGGTACTATACGATGTGCCACTCAGGTTGTTCTGCTCCGCAATCGAATGCGGAATAAAGGACGACGGAAGAAAGCCAGTACAGGCCGTCCCCTGGTAATTGCATGGTGAACAACAGCGATCGCATCGTCTATGTTGTACAATAAACGAGCTGGTATACATGCAGATGCCCTCCACCCTCTTTTAACTCTATTCAAGGGGTGGAATATCCCCAGAAACGAGCCACATGCCTACTGAGCATAACGTATTGCAAACTAAGATATGACTCGTTCACCATTCGTCTTTCTAGTTTGAATTCCTCTGCACATGAGGCTGTGGATTTGAGAACCAGGTGATATGCATTTATCAACTTTCATAATACCTAGAAATATGAATAAACCATATTTGCATCCCAATTGCGAAACAAGGTCCTTTCAATATCATTTCTATTTCTGGAGTAGATTTACAAAATAGTGGAGGGGATTGGATGAGGTAAAGAGACAGGAACGTCCTCTGTCCATGAATGTACGCCAGCTGCTAGAGTCAGAGTAGTGGTATTTACAGAACTTCATCTATTTGCATGACGCTAGATTATAAGATTGAAGGACTCATAACAGGGTAAAGTCATCAGGATAGCGATACGCTACGCAGCAATCTTCATCTTCTCAACATCAGGCAAAGCATCTTCGCCTTCCTCATCAAGGTCTGCCTTGCCAGCCAAGCCTGTCTCCCATAGTTGTCTCCCAGTCATCTTCTTCTCTTCCTTAGCCGGAGACTTTTTATTCGCTTTCTTATCCTCCGCATCTTTCTCTTCTCGTTGCCTCTTCTCCTCTTCCTCCATCTCCGCCTTAAACTTCTCTAGCCACTCTATGAATGTCTCTCTGGTCACAGCTGTACCCTGGAATTTTCGATTCTCCTCTTCTTCAGCCTTAGCGGCTTCCTTCTCTTTCTCCGCATGGACAGCATTCACCCGCTCAGACATTAATTGCTCGGCATTCTCCTTGAGAGCACTGACAAGGGTGAAAACCATGGCCATCCCCAGGTTCTCCTCAATAGTAGGCTGTAAAGATTCGAGTAGTTGGTCCCGATCTTCCTGGACATCTAGCCGAGGGTGTCTGGGGGCGTTTGGAGGAGCGGATAGTTCGAGCTCCGGAGCAACATCGGGATAATCTGCAGGGTATGAGACCTGCAGGAGCAACACGGGCTGTTCAGCTTCTTCGACGTCATTTTCCGGCGCGTCGAGGGCGATTGATATCCTGTATGAGGTATCCGATAAATCTAAGAATGTTAACAATAAATAGCCCTTCGGTGCGCATAAATGGGGCTTTAATCTCACCTGTGATTTCCTCTGGGAAAATGGAATCGAGCACCTCGCGCTCTTCAATCTGATCTTCGCGGCCCATACTGCTTCAATTCTGCCGCCGATGGGGGGTTTGGAGGGGCACTAGTGGTGGGTGTTCCAAAGCGAGAACGACCAGATTTCCGCGCCCACACAAGGATGGCTACCTCAAGTATCTAGTACTGTAGATCTAAGATGCGACAAGGCCGCAGAGTAATCCTTCGCTGCGTGAATTAAAGCTGGCTGGCGTAGGATTCGGTCATGGAGTACCCCATGTATAATATTGCAGTCCCACATGCAAACCAGACAAACAGATAAGAAAATGCCCAAAATTATTTGGTCCGAAAAGGGAATTTCAATGCTCCGCTTTCTTGACCTTCCAAAGCTCCCCAAGTATATATCTATCTTGTGCAAGAAATCTACTGTCATAGATCTTGTTCTTCCTTTTTTTGATCCATTCACTTGAACTATTAGAGTACGTTGAATATCTCTCTTCTATAATCTAAACGGCGATCATGGGTAAACCCAGACCTCACAAAAAGAAAGCATCCAAATCCAAGTCCAAGTCCGTTCTCAGCGCTGGCGGCTCGGTCTCGAAACAGAAAATGAATGAAGATCCTTCAAAGCTCCTCGAACAAGCGACCACACTCCTCCAGACAGGACAGCCAGATGTAGCGCTTCCGGTCGCCCAACAGGCGCTCGAACTTGCGCCGGCCAATTCGCCCGCCCAGCTTTCGGCCTTGAACATCGTCGCGGAGATTTACGTTGAGCTGGGAGAGATTGATGTTGCGAGACAGCATTTCATGCGCGCGGTTGAGCTGGACCCGACTGGCGCAATTCCTGAAAGCCAGGGAGGTGGCGCTGAAAAGTTCATGTGGCTTGCTCAATTGAGCGAGCTTGGAGGCAAGGACAGTGTTCAATGGTTTGAGAAGGGTGTTTCTTGTCTCCGGCAAGTTATTCAACAGCTTGAACAGAGCCCAGGTCCTGCGGAAGCTATTGAGTTGGAGGAGAAGAAACGGAAGATGGCCAATGCCCTATGTGCTGTTGCTGAGATCTACATGACCGATCTTTCGTGAGTTACTGTTCTTCTATGTTCTTGGTTTTTGCCCGTGGAGTGCCTTGAATTTAACAGCGACTAGGTGGGAAGAAGATGCTGAAGCCCGTTGCGAAACTCTCATTACAGAGGCTCTTTTGGTCAACTCAAATGCACCGGAAGTGCTCCAAACTCTCGCCTCGATCCGAATCTCACAGCTGCGAACTGATGAGGCTCGGGCGGCACTCACAAAAAGTCTCGAGCTATGGAAGGACCTACCACCCGAGGACCCAATAGTCCCTGACTTCGCCACAAGGATCAGTTTGGCTCGTCTATTGATGGAGGTCACCATGGAACTTGAAGCACTTGAAGTCCTAGAACGGTTGATCTTAGAAGACGACCAGAGTGTAGAGGCCTGGTACCTTGGAGGATGGTGTCTCTATCTTCTCGCCGAGAAGAAGGAAGCGCCCAAGGAGGAAGAGCTGGACAGTGAAACTCCCGAGGCAAGACGCCATGCTTCACTGGTCGCTAGCCGGGAATGGCTGAAGCAGGGCTTGATCCTCTACGAATCGATTCAATACGAAGATGTGAGGCTCAAGGAGCATGCGGATGAGTTGGTAGAGACCATGAACAAAGAATTGGGCGAGGACATGGAGGATGACGGGGAAGGGGAGGAGGGAGATGAGGGCTGGGAGGAGGAGCTTGAGTCGGACGGCGATCAGGAGATGGCCGATTCATGAAAAATTGCATGATCTTATGAGAATCCTGTCATGATACCAACCTATAGAAAAAAGTCACTGCTGTTTACGATATACTCCGTACTGACGACGTGGCCCTCGTCCAGGGGGTGTGTGGTTGATTGATTGACTGACTGACTGACTGACTGACTGACCCTCTTTTTTGTATCCGCCCGCCGTAAGCCCACTTCGCTCGTAAAGCCATGCGATACTTATTGGCCCATCCTTCTTTGTCACTTGATACTAACGAACTTATCGCCCCAGAAGCCGGTGTCGGATAAATCCGCTCCGACCGCTTTCCCCGGAGATTCGCAGAGCCAAATTTATCCCGGCAGATCGTACATGCGCGTGGCGAAAAATTCAATGTGAGTTGAGGCGTTGTCATAGAGGTTGCTGGAAGTGTCCTATCTCCCATACAGGATGGACCTTGTACCAGCGCCCGGCGGGGAGAGCTCTTCGTTGAAGAATCCGGTGGTCGAAGTGGAAGCCGTCGATATGACCTCCGCGGAAGTGGAAGAGACCGTTGCGACAGAGAATCCGGTCTCTGCGCAAGGCAATATATCTCCGTCGGAAGAGGACTCAGATAGCGGTGAATCGGGAGACGAATGGGAAACACAGTCACTCTATGAAGACGCTATCCAAGTCCTTCGTGACGAGCAACTGCGGGAAGGGGGTAAGCGTTTCATACTTGGCGCAATGCGCCTAGACCTGTCCATGCTTCGAAATTTCATACGTTCGTTCGCTGACCTTTCTTGCCTTTAGTCGTCCCTGATGCTTGTACATTAGACGAGGCCATTGCATTCCGAAAGCGCCTACATGAAGTTGGCAAGGCCGCGTTCGTTGAGGAAACCATTGCTCAGGACAAAGTAACGGCCAAGAAACTATGCACTGCATTTGGGATCATGCCCCCGGCTTTCCTTGAGGCGCGCCGGATGAGGCCTATCACCCTTTGCTGGCGATTGCGATCTCGCAAGAGTTCTCTCGCCGGCAGAAGCTTCCACAGTATAACACGATTGACGATGCGGTCAAGTTACTTCAGGAGTCTAAGAATATCATTGTTTTGACGGGCGCTGGTGTGAGTGTCTGCTTTAGATTATCTGTGATGTACGTATGCACTAATGGTGTCGCCAGATCTCAACGAGTCTCGGTATTCCGGATTTTCGGTCCAAGGACACCGGACTCTACTCGCAATTGGCGCATTTGGGTCTCAGCGATCCGCAGGAAGTTTTCGATATTCATATCTTCCGCGATGACCCGAGCATCTTCTACTCGATTGCGAAGGATATTTTGCCTACTGAGAAGAAATACTCGCCCACTCATGGCTTCATCCGGCTCCTGCAGGATAAAGGAAAGCTCCTGACCAACTACACCCAGAACATCGATAATATCGAGGCGAATGCAGGCGTTCTTCCCGAGAAGATTGTGCAGTGTCATGGTTCCTTTGCAACGGCCACGTGTGTTAAATGCGAGTATAAGGTGTCGGGTGATGCGCTCTTCGAAGACATCAGGAAGGGAAACGTTCCCGAATGCACTTCCTGCCAGAAGGCGATTGAGGAAGACTCTTTGAGGCCACAGGGGCAAAAGCGCAAACGTAGCACTAATGGCACCCACAAGAGCCGGAAATCCGATGGGGACGAGAGCTCTGAAGAGGAAGACTACGAGCTCCCTACTCCCGGGGTGATGAAGGTCCGTGCAGTATCAGCCTTGCTCTTCCACCTACAGTTCCCCCCGCTAACCTACCTTTATTTTAGCCTGACATCACCTTCTTTGGCGAAGATCTTCCCGATGAGTTTGGACAGCGCCTGATTCGCCATGACCGTGACAAAGTCGATCTGGTCATCGTCATTGGTACCTCGTTGAAAGTGGCTCCTGTGGCAGAAGTGCCAGGCGTGCTGCCCCGTCATGTGCCGCAGATCTATATCTCTCGGACTGTAGGTGATCTCTCAACAACCTTCATCCTCCAATTCAAGTGCTAACCATCCATGTGAAGCCTGTATCGCATACGGGCTTTGATATTGATCTCTTAGGCGACTGCGATGTGGTCGTGTCGGAGCTCTGTCGACGAGCTGGGTGGGACTTCAAGCATGAGATGATTCCTCCCGACGAAAAGGTCGAAATCACTCCTGCTGAAGGATATGAATCACGACATGTGTTTAGGGTTGTCGGCGCATAGCGACGGTGTTCGGTCATAGGATCTCTGGTCCCTGTCTATTGAGGGACGGCGTACTGTACGGTTCTTCTTATGATGATGAGGTTGTTGCTGTGGGTTCTTGTTTTGGAGGGGTTCGCCCGTATTGAAGGATGGACTTTTTCTTTTGTTCCTTTTAGACTGTTGTTGCGCTTTTCTGGATGCTTTTCCTTTAGAGATTGAGTAGCTACGGCTTCTGCGTTTAATTGACTTGAGCATGAACAACACCACGAAAGGATTTCCTCCCGCGTCCGTGTTGGCGGTAAAAAAAAATGACCGTCCACCATATGTTAGTATATTGTAGTCAGGAAGACTTTCTGAAGGGCAGGTTGAAGCATCGGGAGAGCTCTTGTGGGTTCCCGTTGCCAGCCTGCAAACATCAGTAACATAAATCCTGAGCGGCCAAAAAAAAAAAAATAAAAAAAAACCATTTAATTACATTTGCCTCGTACCACACAGCCATTGACGCTCTCAACCCACCAGCAAATAATCGACGGTCTATCTATCACTCCAAGTACTATCCTGGGAACAAGAGCGATTCTCAAACCCGTCAATTACGACTCAACAGGCCCGAGCAAGTCTGGTGGGCTTCGGTCAGCATGGAATATGTGGTCCGCTTCGCGCAGGTCCACGAGACTTTTCGACGACCGGAGATCGAGTCTCTGGCCGCTCTGGCCGGGATTGATTTGGAAATCGTATATTATGACCCATTTGTATGTTCCTCTCATTATGAGATCTAAATTTGGTTCCCCCCTTGAATCCTCTTTTACGACATCATGCCAGTATACAAGCACTGAGGGGCAAACAAACTGTCCCGCAGATTTTCTCCCCACCTCACTGACCCTAATACTTTATCACCTCGGTATATGAATTGACCTAACACGCGCATCAGTCACCATACTGCGTAGTAAAACTGCCCAATGAAGCAGATGCACACACCCTGATCGCACGCAGTATCCTAGCAAAAGATGTGTTCGAACTCTGGGGCCAAGGCACCAACTATGAGGAAGTGCACGCCGACGTCCGCAGGCGGACACAGCACCGCTGGGATGAGTTCCAGAAAGTGTCTTTCCGGTTCACTATCGACTCCTTCTCCGGGAAGCGCAGTATGGAGGCCAAGCGAGCCATCATCCAATCGTTCGCGTATCTGGGCTTCGACGGCCCCATCCGGATGAAGAATCCCGACGAGGACTTCTGGGTCCTGGAAGACTTCGTTTCGGACATTGAGATCGCGACGAGATCTCCCGGTGCAACACACGCCTACAGCGATGTCCAGGAGCCCAGGAAGATCTATCTCGGTCGTTGGCTTGCTAACAGCAGTCGCGATGTCGTCCTGAAATACGACTTGAAGAAACGCCGGTATATCAGCACCACGTCGATGGATGCCGAGCTGAGTCTGGTCACGGCCAATATGGCCCACGCTGCCCCCGGAAGACTGTTCTATGACCCTTTTGTCGGGACGGGCAGCTTCTGTGTTGCGGCGGCACATTTCGGAGCCTTGACCTGTGGGTCGGATATTGACCCACGGAGTTTCAAGGGCAGGGAGAAGAAGGAGAAAGCGCCTATGGGGCTGTTTACGAACTTCCAACAATACGGCATCGAGAGCAAGTTTATGGATGCGTTCTCGTCGGACCTGACGAACACACCGCTGTTGAATCGTCAGTTCTTGGACGGTATCGTCTGTGACCCCCCCTATGGTGTCCGTGAAGGCCTTAGGGTTCTGGGAACTCGGGACGGTAGTGGTCGAGAAGAGGTGATCATCGATGGTGTTCCAGCGCATTAGTACGTCCTTGCTTCGATGGAGTCCAAACTTGAGCTGACATACGAACTCTAGTCGACCGGGTTACATCCCTCCTAAGAAACCGTACGGCTTCGAAGCCATGCAGAACGATATTCTCGCCTTTGCGTCCAGGACCCTCGTCACCGATGGCCGTCTGTGCATGTGGATGCCCACCTCCATCGACGAGGATGTGGAGCTGCTCATTCCCATGCATCCACACTTGGAGGTTGTCAGCGTTTCCGTGCAGCCGTTCAATCAATGTTAGTAGAGCACCTACCATCGTAACATAAGATGCCCCTAGTGTCTCTTATTCATCGTTAATCTAGGGTCCCGCCGATTGATCACCTACCGACGACTACCCGAGGGGCAGGTCTCAGACATCTCCAAGGCACGACAGAAGGGCGATTCGGAAGGAATCAGCGCGGATGATCTGAATGCGTTCAGGAGAAAGGTATGCCATGCCATCCAGATATTCTATCATACAGCATTGAAGATCGTAACTGACAAGTTCGAACCCCCTCCAGTACTTCACGAAAAACCCCAACAAAAGGTCCGAGAAAGGCAGCCCTGCACCGCAACAAAGCTGATATGAATGCAATGTTAAAAAAAAACAAGAAAGAACGAAAAAAAAAAAAAATAAGAAGCATATACATAGAAAGAATAAACAAAATTCATCCCATTAAAGCTTCCCCTTCACCCCCCTACCACCATCATCAAATGCCTCACCTTCCAAGTCCACGCCCATCTCCCTAACCCTGAGAACCTCCCTCGCCAACTCTCCCCGTAACAAACCCGCCAAGGTCTCGCCCTCGTCATCATCCAATTCATCCCGTTGCCCACGCCCGAACATCACAAAGCTTGCCCGGGCAGCATTCGGCGCCGGGTTAGACGACGGCCTGGGAATGATATGAAAATGGGCATGAGGAACCTGCTGCGCGGCCCTGATACCTGTGCTTTGCCATCAATACACCTGATCCCTGGTCCCTGAGTGTGACAGAGGAATAAACGTCGGAGCCATACATACCATTATTCTGTACCACGTTCCAATTCCAATCTGAACTGCTCTCATGCTCACCGGAGATGGTCCGCATGACGACGCGCGAGAGGATGGGGAGCCATTGGCCGAGCTGGATGTGATTAGTTAGTAGTTGTTCTTTGTGAGGAGACGCCATGGAAAGTCCTGCTGGAGATCCCATGTAGGAATGGAGGTGAACTACAGTAAATAGGATTTATACGTACCTCGCGGCTGACCTTCACGTCTACATCGCCGAGTTTCTCAGAATGCGTCCGCGGAATCACCAGCACATGGCCCCGGGTCAAGGGCATGATGTCCAAGAACGCTAGGACATGGTTGGTGGACAGAATCAGATGCGCGGTTGGCTGGGTTGGGTCGGATGAGCCCGGTAGGGGGATTGGTGAAGTATATGGCTGGTTTGGATTTTGGGAATTGGGACGAGTATCTTCTGGAGTGAAGGCCGTGGGAGGGATGGGCGGGTATGTGCTTGCGATGTTACAAAAGGGACAGGACGATAGTGTCGCCATAGTGGCGTATTTGCGCCCTTGGTCGCTTGAATGAGCAGATTCCGGTCTTAAATGATTTAGTGGTTTACGCAGAGGCCCTATGAGGCCTGAGTTGGGGGCATGTCGGTGTTGCGAGGCAATCTCGTGGGAGTGGCAGAGCATCCCTCCGGACCTCGGTTCGTGGAGGTTGACCGCAATACCTACGAAATCCACGACGGTCACCCAGCAACTCATCCTCACAGTAGCAAATGGCTAAGGTCGTTGAAAGCTGAAGAAACCAGCAGCTCCAGTGTACATTAAATTCCCTAAACACACATTACGATGACCCTCTTCCCCCCCCCTCTCTATCCCATATATCGCCCCGTAAAACACGAAACAAACTAAAGATAACTCCAAAAACGATTTTCCTTTCTTCCTGTTAGGTTTTTTGTTTTTTCTTCTTCCATTTGAGATACCGTTTACCCCGTAACCTGTGGCCGTGGACATGCAGCAGCCCGTACATCGTCGCCTCCGTTCTCCGAGGTCGACGACGCAGAGAACGTGCCGGCAGAAGAAGACAAGTGGGGAACCAAAAAAGAATTGCAAATGCAAATACATTGCCGACCCTGGGCATCCGACGCCTGTAGTACAAACAGGGGGAGGAAGGAGAATGTTAAGGTATCAGAGGAAGTCAAGTGTGAAGAAACCCAGACACACTGCCAAATCGAAGAAAGCAAAGGTGGAAAAGAAAAGAGAAGAGCTGGAAAAGAGCGCCCGACGCCCCGAGTAGAAGTGAATAATGCAAACATCCGCAGCTGAAACAGAAAAATGCCGTCGTAAACATATGCAAGAGGTGTCCTATACCATCACAACCGAAGAAATGCCATATATGGAATCAATCAACTCCTCCCCTTACACCCATCCCGCCAAGGAGCGAGATCTTGGCTCATCACGGGTGCCGCAAAACCCCCCTCTTATTTATTCATGATCCTTGATATAGTTGTACGGTTCTGAGAGGGAGCTGTCGATGTACAGGTGGTGATACTTCTTGGCCCATTGACGGGTCAAAATGGACGCTATCAAGCATGTCAGGAGCTGCGGACACGTCGACACCAGGTCTGTGCTTACCTTTGAGGAACTTCTTGCTGGCATATTTCTTGAAGAACGCTTCGTGGCAGACCGGGCGGTGAAGATAGTCGATCATGAGGCGGAAGACAGGGTCGATCTGCTCTTCGTCATATCCAGCGTAATAAGCCAAGGTGGCATCCTACGTCGCGTTAGCAATTCCCAGTGTCCCCACGGAGCAGTAATAACAACAACATACCCAAGGCCCACGCTCCAAAATGAGACGTGCCAGATACATGGCGGCAGCAGACACGTGACTTTGACGGTAAGCCATGAACCGGTGATCGAGGAGACTGATTTCCATCAGGTATTTTCCAAGGGTACGCGTTTGGATATCATAGTTATCTGCCTTAGAAATACGACGCAGGAAGTTCATCGGGTTGGGATAGCTCATGTTGTACTCGAGAGTCGCCAGAATGTGACGCTCAGCGTCCAGAATCTCCTTGTCGGTGAAAGTCTCGTCGGCGACGTGACTGAAGTTGGCCACATGCGGCGAGAGGACCTCCTCATACTTGGACGCGATAAACATAGCAGCAACTCCAACAAGCTGCAGACGATCCAGAGCCACCACCTCGGCCGACAGGAAACGATCGATGAGATTGACAGCGAGGAAAAGAGTCTCAGGCAACAGACGGAAACGGGTGTGAACCTCGATGAGCCAGTCAACAAGGATACCACGCATCTTCCACTCCAGATCAGGTTGATGGTCAATGTAATGGGGGTTAGGTAGTGTCTCGAGTTCAAGGTCCTTCATGTATTCAAAGATCTCCACCACATATTCGGCCACCATCAAGGGGTCATCTAAATCCTCAGTATCCAAATCCTCCACAAGATCTTGAGCGGGCTTCTGCAGGGTCTTGGGCTCAACAGGAGCTTCGACATTTTCCTTGGCGGGAGCCTTTTCAGTGGCAAGCTTCTTCTGGGTGAGCTTCTTCTCGACCTCCACCTTCTTGCGGGGTGGCTCTTCTACCAACACGTCTTGCGTGGTTTTTTGGCGCTTCTGTGCACTATCCTTGATAGATCCGGGTCCCGACCGTTTTTCCTTGTCCTCTGCAGGCTTCTTCGTGTTGGTGGTTTTGTTCGTCAGGGCGGTAGTACGCGACGAGTTGGTGCGGGTGAGCTTCGCAACGCCACCAGCCTGCATGGTAGCTTTCGATGTCAAGCCAACCTTGGTGGTCGCGGCCGGCTTCTTTCCCTCCTTCGCGCCGCCGTTCTCGCCCTTGGTGACATTGCTGACATCACCTAGAGCAGCGCGCCTCCTTGTCGTACCAGTGGTTGCGGTTGAGGTAGCGGCTTTCTTGGTCTCAAGAGGTTTCTTAGTGGCCGCAGTGGAGACGTCACCTGCGGATAGAGCTGCAGCCTTGGCCCGTGTGAGACGCGTCGAAGGTCTATTCTCGTCATTCTCGTTCATAGTGCTCCGTGTACGGAGGCTGCGAGCCTGCTGCGGTGTATGTTAGAAGACCTTGTAATGGACAGGAAAAAAACAAAAAGAAAAAAGCAAAAAAAAAAAAAAAAAACACGCAACGGTCGGTGGAGGTGAGGGTCTGGTAAGAGTCAACGCGTCATAGGAGCTGTGGAAAGCTTACCGTAGGCATTGCGAGGGAAAAGAAAGGCGAAAGGGGTGTCCGAAGGTGAAGAAAATATAAGAGGGTTGATTATGGTTACTGCGGTTCCTGTCCTTGTCGTCTGGTCAGCATTCCAATGAAGATATTACCTTGGCGAGTGGAGCTTTAAAATACCAACGGCCTGGGGAACCACTCAGCCTGTCCAACGCGTGAATATTTGACTAACCTTAGCAACGGGAGACAATGCAAGGTATCAGGAGTAGGATTGGGGGGTATTTGAAAAGGATTTGGCGTGAGGGAGGCTTAAAATAGGGACATATATGACTTTTGTTGATGCTGTTGACCAGTGATCCGGATCACGTTAATTGCAACGGCGCGCTCCTCCAGATTAAGATCTGTACAGTAGAAGATATAAGACCATATAACCAAGATGGTGATGGTCAATGACGCGAGGAATGCAGGTTAAAGTGGGTTTTCGTCCTCCCTTAAAAGTCAGGATCCCCGTCGAGGAGGTGTTTGATGGGGGTGGTTGGCAGAGAAAGAGGTGGTAAACTTGACAGGGCACAGAGGATGTTTGGCCCTACTCTTAGCGCGGAAATCGGTCAAACTGAGAGAAAAGCTGCCCCACAGCACCACCAAAGCCAGTCGAGTCGCGTGGAATGGTGGATTATCAACCCAAAAGCCGATAATAGTTAACTACTAGTAGTGAGTAGTTATCCTGTACAGCGTAATGTAATTAAATGGCGATTATATGCAGATGCCAGCAAACCCGTCGATTTGCTGTCCTCCGACAATGTATTATGAAAATGTATGTACGGGACGAAAAAAGTGGAGAGACGCGGGAAGAAAGGGAAAGGGAAAGGGAAGAAGAAGTGTTTTTCTTGGAAAGGAGGAGGAAGAGAGAGTTCGAAGGGAAAGATGCAGAAAGGGGGATGCAGGCGTAATAACTACTGCGAGACAGACTACGACTGAGGTCATGCAAGTTCTTGTTCCAGAGACTGATAGCAGCGTATGCGTATGTATGGAGACGATGACTTGGGCCCCGATTGACCGTGAATCACACCCAAAATAGATGGTAACGATACCGTCACGGTCGGAAAGAATCAGTCACTGCGGTGGAGGGAGCAGATCGTCATCCATGGTCGATGCCTGAACTCGCCCAGGCAAGAAGACGCCATCGCGAGAAAAACGTGAGGCGGCGCGGCCACGACTCCCCAAACAATGCGCCGTTGCCCGGCAACCACGGGTTTTCTTCGCTTTTGTGTTATCTCGCCCGACGTGTTCCCGTGTCGCGGCATCCCGTGACTTGCAACTTCCGTGAGCCACAATTGAGAATACGGTGGCGGTGCAGCTCCAGTCACGTGTGTGGGCGCAAGCCACAACGGCAGCCCAAGCCCGAAAGACAATTTTGCTCCGCAACGAAAAGAGTCGGCCGACGACGTCTCATCACCGGCCATTGACAGCGCTCCGATTGGGCTTTGGGTGGTGTCCGAGTCAATTTGTTACCGGTGTTTTGATCTTTACGTTTTTGTCCAAGCAGGCATGTGTAAGCAGTAATCCGTTGGCACATTGGCATACACTGTTGCGAAGGCTTGCGGTCCTACCTGGAACACTCTCCGCCGGATCAATTCTTGGGGTTTCCGTCTCGTTTTCTCTCTAAATACTCCCCTACCTCATCATGCTTCAACCTCGATTGGCCTTGACGGGCCTTCGTCTTCCGTTCAGATGCCTGTCTTCGGTGTCTTCTAGGTCCTACTCAAGTGTTGTGCACGAAAAAGAGACTCCCCCGACGGAGTCTTCGACGTCAACTTTCGACCCAAGCATTGCTTTTGCTCCCCCTCCTACGCGAGATGATGCGGGAGTTCAAATTCGATCTTATAAGCCCCGGACTCCCGGTATCCGGCATTTGCGGAGACCGATCAACGATCACCTTTGGAAAGGACGACCTGTACAGAAGCTGACGTTTCCCAAGCGAGGACAAAGTAAGGGTGGCCGTAACAACACGGGCAGAGTAACCATCCGGCATCGTGGTGGTGGTCACAAACGCCGTATCCGAATTGTCGATTTTGCACGAACCGCTCCTGGTCCTCATTTGGTGGAACGGATTGAACATGACCCTGGGCGAAGCGCTCACATTGCGTTGGTCCGCAGCCAAGAAACCCAGCGCCTGAGCTACATTTTGGCCGCGGAGGGAATGAGAGCCGGTGATGTTGTTCAGAGTTATATGCCTGGTATCCCGGAAGACCTGTGGAAAAGTATGGGAGGTGTTGTCGATCCTGGTGTGCTCGCCGCAAGGACTGCTTGGAGAGGAAACTGCTTGCCATTACACATGATTCCCGTTGGTACATTGATATTCAATGTCGCTTGCGGCCGAATAAGGGGGGCCAGCTCTGCCGTAGCGCCGGTACTTTTGCAACCGTTATTGCGAAGGGTAGCAATACACAGGCTGCACAGAACGAGCAGGCTCAAGAAGAGGGCGAGGAAAAGAAACCCTTGTCCCAACGTGAACAACAGAAGCAGGAACGTATTGCGCAGCATATTACCATTCGTCTCCAAAGTGGTGAAGTCCGCCTGATTCATAAGGATTGCTGCGCGACCGTCGGTGTTGCTAGCAACCCGAACTACCAGTACAGCCAACTCGGAAAGGCCGGCCGATCGCGCTGGCTGAACATTCGCCCCACTGTCCGTGGTCTTGCCATGAACGCCATGGACCATCCCCATGGTGGTGGACGAGGAAAGTCCAAGGGTAATGTTGATCCGAAGAGTCCTTGGGGTCTTCCGGTATGTGTTCTCCTCTTATTCCTATTAATATCTACGTTGATGTAGGTGGGACTGACATTTTCTGCCTAGGCGAAATCCGGTTATAAGACTCGTCCCAAGTGGAAGGTCAACAAGGCTGTGGTTGTCCCCAGAGTCCGTAACCAGGGCAAGCGTCGTAGAGGATACAGCTAAACGTATCGCTGTCGTCCTTCATTCGTCTCTCTCTCCTCCCTTCTACGCAAGTACGACTATGCTTCCTTTGCTAATAGTACCCACGAAGGCTTGATTGCTGCTATTTCCCGACCAGCCACTATCGCTTTCATGATGTCTGTCCGGATTCCTTTTCTCATTGTACTTGCTTTCTTTGGGACTGCATGGAGATGACAGGTTCGTTCATCTTGTACTATACATCAGCTCTACATCGGTCGTAAGGTGTATGATTCTGAATGCTCTGGGGAGCTCTGCATGTCTCTCTTGCTGTTCGGCTTTTGCGACCATGTTTCTCCAGTGTTGCTCGCTTGTCCTATACCGCGGCGTTGATTTTTTGTATTATATGCATTCAGTATCTAGATCCAATATGGAATATGGAATATGGAAAGAGGTTTCTGCTGTAGTAAACTGGTTCATACGAATTTTGAGAGGTGATCACAATTCTCTGCCCTAGTTTCAGGGTCAAAAGCGCTCCGTTCGGGATGCATGGGACATGCGAGCTCTGATAGGCGCGGCGAAGACTACGTAAGCCGGAGATGCCTGGACTCTTCCAGAAAGAGTAACGGCTAGAGGGCGGGCGTACTTATCGTCCTACAGACTGCGAACTAGACTACCGATACCAACTCCGATATGCAAATGACGTCCTACGCTCGCTGATAGACTACTACTCATAAATGCCATTTCTCTCCTCCGCACGAAAAGTGATGCGGCTGGTCTGATTCCCGTGCACAACAATAATCGCTGCAAATCTGCGGTCTTGGTGGCGCTGGATTGGAACAACACCACATCAATCTGGTCGAGGTCAACATAATTTTGTCTAACGAACCATCCCCCCAGGTTATGGATCTCTAACGCCTCTGATACTTTTATGATCTTTGATTTCTCTCATCGTCTAATGCCCCTGGCGCTATCGGTTATCAAGAGTGTCGTTATTGGGGTCTGGCACCTCCTATCTGCCGACGAGTATCCAAACTCTACTTAATCGCAATCCGAACTGAAGTCATTATCCGGTCTACTCCCTTCACAGTCCATTGTGCCGTTCACAGGCCATGGCGGATTCTCTCGACGGACCTTTCTTTCCTCCAACCACCGAAACCTCCTCAACCCAGCCGTTACATCCTTCGATGGATCACGATACTGCAGAGGCTCATGCAGGGCACATCGATCCGGACAGCTCGTACGTTCCCCGCCCTAAGCGCATTGCATGCGTCGTCTGCCGGCGAAGAAAATTAAGATGCGACGGGAGGAAACCAAGCTGTGGTACTTGTTCGAGGCTGGGACACGAATGTGCGTACGATGAAGTGCGCAAGAAAAGTGGTCCAAAGCGAGGTTATGTGAAGCAGTTGGAGGCGCGTTTAGGTATGTGATAGATGGCCGGACTCTCTTCATGCGTTCGGTTAGACTGTTTCGGTGCTAATGCTGTGCTCTCACCAGCCCAAGTCGAAACCTTACTGAAGACGCAGGAGGTGAACCCCTCCCACAACAGCCAAGGGAATAGCGCCAACATCACAGCACCGAAAGAGTTCGGCATCCCGGAGGCGGTCCCGTTCACAAACAGTATTGATGCACCCATGTCATCCCCCGAAGGCGAAATCAATAATATCCAGTCAAACGAGACCTTCTTGACACCGGGGTTAGATCGCACGGGTAATTTTGGGTGGGACATGATAAGTTTGGGGCTGGAAGAACCTCTGCCTGACCGAGAAATCATTGACGAATTGTATGGGTTGAACTTGGTATCAAATTGAAGGATTTTGAGCTGTGCTGACTATATCACGGCAGAAACCAGATCTACTTTGAGAAAATCCACCCTTATATGCCCGTCTTACACCGTCTCAGACATCTGGCAGCTATGGATCTAGCTCCAAGTGTACGACCTCCCGTGTGTTTGCAGTACATTACCTGGTGCCAAGCTGCGTCTGTCAGCGAGAAATACTCAAATTTACATGCGCTTTTCTACCAGCGAGCCCGCAAATACGCAGAACTGGACGAAATGAAGGGACTGGGGGAGAACATCTTGTCTTTGCCGTACTGCCAAACTTGGTTGCTCATCGGCACGTATGAATTTCGAATGATGTTCTTCCCCCGGGCATGGCTCAGTGTTGGTAAAGCTGCAAGGTTAGCACTTATGCTCGGTCTGAATCGATTGGACGGTATGGGTCTTGAGGTAAAACAATCATTACCGCCCGCAAGAGATTGGACAGAGAAGGAAGAACGACGAAGGGTGTTCTGGATGGCTTTCTGTGTCGACCGTTTTGCAAGCGTCGGGACCGGATGGCCAGTTCTTATCGATGAGAGAGATGTCAGTGATGCCTCGTCCAATATCCTTTCCTGGTTTTTTAAAGTTCAATGGCTGATCCTGTCTGAGTAGGTCAAGACGAACCTACCTGCTACCGAAGAAGCGTTCGTCAAGAGCAAACCGCAGAGGACACTACGCGTTGAGGACATTCTGGCGGGGGATGGACTCTCCACCTTGTCGTCGTTCGGGAGTGTTTCTTTCATGGCATACATGTTTGGACGGAACCTTTCACACCTGCATCGCCCTGACCCTCAAGACAATGACCATGACCTGAATGGGCTGTACTGGCAGCGGCACAGATCGCACGATAACGTACTACTGCACTTTTCCCTAGCAATGCCCAACCATCTCCGACTACCAGCTGGAATGTCTGATCCCAACGTCATCTTCTGTAACATGGCGATCCACACTTCCACAATATGCCTTCATCAAGCCGCTATCTTCAAGGCCGAGAAAAACAGGATGCCCGAACAGATCATCACAGAAAGTAAACGAAGATGTATTGTTGCTGCTGACCAAATCTCTAATATTATGAAGATGATCAGCCACATGGACCTAACGGCTGTAAGTCTCAGGAAACTATTGTCGTTATGCTATGGTCATGGACTAATCGATTCTAGTTAAATCCTTTCATGTCATACTCTGTCTACGTCGCTGCGCGCGTCTTCGTACAGTATCTCAAATCCCGCCCCGACGACTCAGCTGCTCGTTCCTCTCTCGGATTTGTCTTCACCGCACTCGATGCCATGAAGAATAAGAACCCCTTGACCGAATCTTTCCTTGTCCAGTTGGATGTCGATATCGAAGGTACTCCATTCCGAGACATTCGACAAGCAAAAAGGCCTCGTCTCACAAACAAAGTGCAAACCAAGGTAAGCCTCCGCACAGAACGATCTCCCAACATCACAATCTCTAATGATCAACAGGGTCGCGGCTGCAACCCCCTCGTACCATTAGACCAACACCAAAAGCAACAATCTGCAATTGAGGAAGGGCCCGCCAGGCTATCAACTGGCCCACAGCAACACTACTACACGCCCTCATCTCTACCCTCTCGTGAAGAGCAGAGCCTTCCACAACTACAGAACAGAAACCCTCCTTCTTCGGATCCTTTCGCAAAATCGCCGTTTAATCTCAGCTCGGGAACTGAATCTGGACCAGGGACTGACACAGGTCTTTCGCCTGAGTTCACCGACAAGAGTTCGAACAATAGTCCAGTGTCAAACGATACATCAATACTAAACGCGACTACCATACACGACCCGTCTTCTTCCACCTACATACCCCTGGGTCAGTCCTCGTCTCTCAAGCAGCAGCCATCAACCTCAGCATCTCTCAATCAAGCCAACCATCAACAATCACATACCTCTCTCAACACTAGTAGCGCAGTAAACATGAGTATGGGTACCACCCCATTTGGCGCCTTTGATATCGATTTCTCTTCCCAGTTGTATCCAACTGGCATAGTAACTCCCCTCGACTCTAACGGTTCGGAAGGGTCTATTCCCATGCCTACGTGGGATTTTGGCGCACCTCAAACTTCGAACGGTGAAAATGTCGACATGATCACCACCGGCATGGAATCATTAGAAGCACAGTGGGCACAGTTACTAGGCTCAGGTCCAGGTACAAGTACAGGCGCAGGCACAGGCACAGGCACAGGCTGGGACTCATGGCGAAATCAAGTATAGGTTAGACTAAATTTCCGGTTTGCACCCTTCTTTTTTGTATACTTCTCAATACCCCGGTTTGAAGCGCGGCGCTTTTGTTATATGAAAGTCATGTGAAACAATATAAAGATATATTCATTAGCTTAACCCATGCGAGACCAATATCAATCAACGATACTCCCGAAATGAAACAAAATTAGATACTCCACTGCCCTTAAAAATGTTGAGCAAGAATAAGTAAGCGACAAAAGGGTGAGAAAAAAAAGAAAAGAAAAGAAAAGAGAGGAACAATAATGCTAAAGGATAAGAGCAAAGCTAGCGAGTGCGTGCTTAGCACTGGTTAGGGAACCGTCTGTCATTAGGAGAAGTAGGGAAAACACCAGCTGCAAGCAAATCGCTCATATCCCAACCAGGGGCACCCTCAGTCTTCCAGGTCCAGAACAGCCAGCCGCTCTTGAGCTCAAAGGCGTCCAGCTGGGCCTCAATGAAGCGGCGCATGTCCAACTGTTCATCCTCAGAGAGGTTGGCCACGGTACCAGAGGCCAGGTTGGTGCAATCACCAATAGCCTCATCAGTGATATAGGAGCCATCATAGCGAGCGCCGTTGCCCTTGCCATTGAGGTATTTGGTACAGTCGGTCAGAGCACCAGTCCACTCACCCACAACAACAGGCTTGTCAGAAGCTTCCAGGTGCTGGTGCGCAAAGTCGCAGACGGCATTGACGTGGCTGTCGATATCCTGGGCGATAAGTCCGGTGTCAAACATATGGTAATGGTGGGTGTCCATCACGACCTTGCTGCCCTCGGTCTTGTAGCCGTTCCAGCTCTCTACAGGCAGGAAACCATCTCCGTATACCACAGATGTGCTAGCGCTGTACTTGTTGACGATACCGTAGACGGAACCGTAGTACTCTTTCAGCTTGCCCTGGTCTATTCCACCAGGAACGTGTGGCTCGTTGATAGCTTCGATGGCAGCAACGGTGTCGAGGCCAGCATACCGCTCGGCCAACAGGTCGAAGGCATCAAGGGTCTGTTCGACAGTGTCCCCTTGTTGCCATTGGATAGCCCCCCTCCGGCCGCTGTTGTCGAACCCATTTTGAGAGCCCGGTGCTGGTCAGGTTATTAGCCATGCTCAGACTCCCCTGGTTTGATATTCAGCCCCAAGGGTACTTACCACCGTGCAGGTCGACGAGAACTTTGAGACCCGCCGCTCCAGCCCATTCTACTGCTTTGTCAAGGTACTCCAGCTGACCATCAACGTAAGGGTCTCCTTCGAGGGGCCCAAGAGCCCAGTAGCCGATGGGAATTCGGACATGGTTCAGTCCGGCATCAGCCATCTGCTGGAAATCGCCCGGGGAGACGAAAGACTCCCAGTGAGCAGACAGGCGTGCTTTAGCCTCATCCTTGCCCAGAAGCTGAGTCAGTGTCCACTCGTCGACGGCCCCTTCACCAGCTTCATCGAAAATTGAAGGTGTAATCCAAGGCTCAAGCACAAGCCATCCACCAAGGTTGACACCACGGACTTTTTCGCCATTGTAATCGAACGAACTTGCGCGAGGGTTTAGGCGACTGCTCTAGTTGTTAAGGGACCATGCAGAGAAAAAAGGGGTACACATCACACAGCTATACTGACATGGTTGCAGCTTGCGTGCCAGCTGAGAGCAAACCAAGCACTAGAAGCGCCTTGTTTGAAAGTCGAATGAACATCTTTCTTGAACACTGTCGAGTCGATCTTTGATGCTGATCTTTAGGAATAAATAGGAGGCTGGGGTTGAGAGTTGAGAGATTGTTTGCTTTGGTGAGTTGTAGCGTCAGTTGGAATGGCAATCACCTGGTTTAAGTAAGGAGTGCTCGCAAAGCTGGTTTCAACCACCGAACGCAACCAACAGATGACCTTAACCGAACATAGATTTTTGGACAAAGTCCAGACTCGCCACTGCTTTCGGGTAATATCGATCCCAGATCTGATCGAGCATCTAGAGAGGGATCCGCGTCGTGGCGTTTGTGACAGCTCCGAAAACAGGAGGTAAGGATAGAATAATAATAGAACAGCATGTACTAACACCACAACAAAGGCATTCTTCTCCCTGTCCTCGTCCAGGAACGTCGCGGGGACAATCGCACCAGTGTCTCAGAACGACAGCTCTATCGAGGGATTCCGTCTGACGGAATCCGGGGAGGACCCATGGAATCTCAGGAGCATAGGGTCACGTTGACGAGTGCGGGAGTTGTTGAGCGCTATGTGGAGTCATAGATGATGGCGAACCCCATAGTGTTTGCGGTGAACAACAGTTCCATGGGTCCTCTGGCGATCTTTGGTGTCGGATCCGGGGAAGAGCGACCCTTATTAGGGTTTGCGTTCCAGGGACCCATCGGCCACCGGGTACCTGGTCGGGAGCCCACAGCCGTCGCCGATAGCGTCTTCACCTCCTTCAAAGCAAATAAGGGAGTATAGAAGGCCCCTGGCGGGGTTCACTGCCCGGTATGCGTCTAGACTCTTTCCAAAAGGGTGACCCGTCATCTCGTAAAGCGGACAATTCTTTGTGGGGCCGTGGGAGCAGATATCGGGGTCTTTGGTACTTCGTGCCTGTGATGGCGTTTCTGGGTGGCCAGTACTGCATTCGGACAGGATGAAAGACAGATTTATAAAATCACAGAGGATCGAAGATGAAATTGAGCTTGAGGGTTACGAATCACTGCCGGATTCGGAAGTCATCACGTGGTCCACGGCCCACGTGCATTCTCCATGACCAATGCAGAGTCCAGACCCTAACTACTACTTGGATCTTGATATCGCGTGGATATTACTTTGGTATAGCTCAGTCACAACAAGTAAACTGTTATCCGACCTTGCAAAGTGACTTATCTACATTCAACAAATGCATCCTAGTTGTCCGTAGAAGCGAGCCCAATACCTACCTATAGATGCTACGTGTTGAAAGGCCATGGCATGTCATTACCTTCACACCCAATCTTTGGTCCCCCAATGTTGAGAAAGACCTTGTCGTTCCGGAAACACCTTGCCAGCACCCAAATGGGCGTTGCAAACTGCGCTTCCCATTCCATCTCAGTATTGTCAGCTCTGTCGAAGTATTTGAAGCTCCAAGATGACAGGCCACCTCCAACACATTTCTTCGCACTCTCGCGGAGTGCTTCCCCATGATCAAGGCCAGCCCACAATCTACCCCGGATAGTATATCGTGACCAAAGTCCTTTATACCATCCCTCGCATAAGCCGCTAGGTGTTCGAACAGGCCAGGGGCGCCTTATGCGGCCCGTCTTCAGTTCATATGTGTATCTCCCCTTCTTCCAACTACCCCCGTGCTTGAGGTTTAGTGGGTTTTCCGGGCGATATAGGTCACATCCGTGAATAATTTTCAGGAAGCTGTTGAGGCATTCCTGTTTGCTAAACCGCATCGCTCCCTTTGTGAGGCTTATAGAGTACTTGTGTTCTTCCGGGGTGCCCTTGTAGAAAACGCGCTCGTCCTGCCAGTTCGGCTGGTTCTCGGGCGGTTGTACTTCGTTGCAGTAGGTCTGGTAGGTCTCATCCACCAGGTGGCTTTGGACATAATGGCTGAGTAAGTCGCCCTTTTTCCCATTCCCCTTGCAAGAGAAGTGGTCGCGCTCCTCATCATCGCAAATCGGATTTGCCACGTCCAAAAATGATGCCCGCGCTGAGATGATCTCGTTGAGAACGAACGATGCAATCGTGAGGTGGCCCCTCTCATTGGGGTGGAACCACTTTCCCCATCGATTTGGGAGTTTAGATCCCCAAGAGCGCTTGTCGAGAAATGCCTGGCAGCCTCCCTCATCCCGAGTAACTGGGTTTCTGTCGTTGAGCAAGTGCATGGCTTCCGTCGCAGGGTTCGCACTCGTGTCGCGCGGATCATAAAGGCTTCCGTTGACCCCATAGCTGACCTCAGGCCCCAGGAGACCTTTGTCTACTGTCATGTCCCTCTTTTTGACCTCATCATGCAAAGATTTCTTCTTCGTGTCTGGCTTGAAGAACTGCAAATTAGGCTGTTCGGGGTCGGGGTATTCCCCAGTAGACCCAGGCCAGCAAAACTGCCCAGCAACCCTGGGCTCAGAGGCCCAGCCGTCCCAATCTGCATAGCGTAGCCTGTACTTCACACCTCTCTCTCTCATCTTGTCAATGGTTTTTTCAATTCCCATATTGGTGATCTTGACCAATTCGTTATATTCTTTTCGCCTCCTCAAGTCCACCGGCAAACTGTTGAACGGACCCCCGATAGCAGGAAAAGCCCAATTGTTATATTTTGCGCAGTCATCCGATTCGGTGTCGAGGTCGTGGAAGAACTGAGCGTAGCTAGCGAAGACCACGACGCCAGTGTTTGGTTTCATATGCTTTTCAAGTTCAACGAGGATGGATTCGAGGGCAGGCTCTAGGATGTATTCCGCGTTGGTCTTGGCTCGCTTGATAGCCGACTCACAGCTCTTCTCATTGTAAGCAAGAAAGATACAGTCTTTCAGGACATCAATCTAGCAAGATTTATCTTAGTTTCGCGCACTTCCAGCAAGCATGTAAGCAGACTCGGGCTTCTCCTCACCAAGCAGAGGTCGTTTCCTCCCGCAGTCAGCACGACCAAATCCATATCATCATCTAGTTTCTTGGCTTGCTCAAGAATCTCGCGTGATTTGGCACCAGTGCAGGCCAGCCATTGAAATTTCTCGGCGGAGACTCCCACGGCACGCTCGAGCATTGCGACATACGATCGATCGTATCGAGCACATTTGCGCACTTCGTCGCTCGTGTCCCACAGCCGGCCGGATCCTATCCCAGCAGTGAAGCTGTCGCCAATAGCGCCCCATTTCCGGATCCAGTGCATGTCGCTGGGGTCTCGCATTGGGTCTCCGCGGGCAAGGCGCTCACCCCGAGCGCTGATGGTGTAGTCGAGGCTCTGGCTAGCATCATTACCACCGAGGGCATGGCCGCCAAAGGATCCCATCAGCAGCGACAGTGCCAGCAGGAGTATGGCTAGGGCTGCCATTCTGAGGGAGATCTGGTTTGGGTGATGTTAATACAAGGGACACCTTTCATCAAAAGGGGATAATCTGGGTCTGAGGATACGCTCCATGAAACAGGAATGGGGAGGAAGGGAGGGCATTCTCATAGTAAATATAAAGATTTATATAATGTAGTCCATTTGAATGTGAGTGAATACAAGTATATCCAGGTGGCGAGAGCTTGTCCCTTAATGAGCTCATGCCCACTACTAGTATGCTGTGAATGAAAGAGCTATGATGGTGAATAGTGTAGCTATATATATCTCCCCCCGCTAGCCTGCACACCATTGTATAGCTTCGAAGTATAGTCCAGAAGTCTAGAACATAGCATTTGCCACATTGACATGCACTATCTTGCTCTTTGTTAAAAATTATTGTGATATCATGTACCTCAGCATAGACAAGAGTGCACCGGACAGTTCTGCTTCCAGGGAGATTGCACTTATACGCATGCGTTATACATGAAGCCCATGTTTCTGAGATATGAAGCAGTTCACCCCCCGGCTACAGAGCTTTTTAGGTCTTTGAATTTAACATTTAGACAATATGAAGTTAAAACACTGCACCTCCAGACTTATATCCCGATACTAAGAAGCGCAAGATAAAGTAGAATATCTACCCCTTCTTCGGGTTTCCCTTCTTTGGACCTCCAATCCAAGTCTTGTTTGACCCCTTTGGCCACGGTCTACCGAAGCAAGGCATTGGCCTGTACTTACCATCGCTAGTCCATTCTTTCTTCTTACCCGACGCTTTCCCCAATGCTTCAACGAGGGTGCCATCATCCAGGTCGACAGCCCAAGCCATGGTCCCTCCCAGACAACGCTTGTTGGCGAAGTCGATCTTGAGCTTCAACGTTTGGACATCATCCCAGCTAACCCACTGATTGGTATTCCACGTAGCGACCTTCACTGCAGCATCTTGATAAAAGGTGACAGTAGCACCCTTCCTGAGTATTCCGTGGATCTCTGTTGCCGAAATAACGCCGGGAATATTGGTACATTCTCCGGCGGGGGCCTCTCCCTCCTTAAAGACACAGCCAGGGGTCATGCAATTAGGGTCTGCCATGGTGAAGCTACGTCCGTAGAAACCTAGTCCCATCACAACCCGTGCCGGATTGATGTTGTTGCGCCAGAGAAGCTCGAGACCCAGATTAATCTCTGTCAGATTGGTGTGGGCGTACGCATGCGGCCCAATCTCCTTCCCATGTGCGTCCCAGAGGCCATCTAAGAAAGAAGAGCCAGTTTAGTATCGAATAATAGACCAAGAGCTAGGATCACTTACGTATATCATAGGTCATGACGTTAAACCAATCAACGTATGGCTCCAAGTTCGCAACGTCAAATCCTTGGAGATACCAGTAGCTGGCCGGCTGCATCGGACAAGAGGTTAGCAATGTAGCATTCAAGGACTCGAGGCAAGTATAACACAACACACCAAGGTTATGGTGAGGCCATAGTGCTTTGGCAATTGATCCAGTCGCTCTCTCAGTCGTTTCACTAGGGTGACATAGTTGGCAAAGTCCTCTGATCTGCCGCCTCGATCATCTGCAGTAGGATATTCCCAGTCGAGATCAACCCCATCGAAGTTATTGTGAAGCATAAAACTAATCAATGAATCAAAGAAAGCATCTTGTGCAGACTGTGAGGCAGCAAGATCCGAAAAGGTAGTCCTCGTGGGACCCGGATCGTTGAAGTCCCAGCCTCCAATCGCAATGTACACCTCAAGACCATTTTGACGGCTCTTCAGCGCTGTGAGGGCTTTGTAACGCTTTGCAGTTGCATCTGTCATATGAGCAATCCGGAAAGTCTTGGGGTCAATTAGAGCAAAGGCAAAATTAAGGTGGGAGTATATCCCTAGAGGGATATCCTTGGGTTCCACCTCTGGAGCAGCCAGATCAGTAAAGGACATGGAGCTAGGGGTAGTAAGGGCTTACGTCCACAAGTTCTTCTCTCGGGGTTCCATGCTTCGTAGTATCCGATAGTCTTTGCCTTCGAGCTTTTCCCGTTACATTCGGGCGATACCACCTGTTTGTCACCACAAAAATCTTTCGTGGTTCCTGAAGGACTCCCTTAGCTACGGTGGACCATTAGACAAGATCAAGGGAACTGGAGTTTCTCACCACAGAACCCATGCTTACTACAGCACACTTTCAAAGGGCAAGTAGACCGATTAGACCATTCTTGACCCCAGCCTGCGTCGCATTCACTCTTTCGGTTGCAATTAGCGGTGCACTTGGATCCGCAAAAGTCAGGTCCAAAGCCACAGTAGCCTGTACCAGCCGAGTCTCTAGAAGTATTGATCAGCACCGGCTAAGATTCCTAGGTGTAAGAGTAGCATAGCTCTCACATTGGTCCACAGCAACCCAGCCGGCAAGGCTTTGACTTAGAACAAGTTGTATCGTCGTTCGGGAGAGGCAAGAGCTGTAGACTTGTGAACGCCAACGTCTTGATCACGAGCTGGCAGAGGAGTAAGAAGAAAAGGCCGGGGGTTGATCTTGTGAGTAGCATAATGCCAGAAGGGAAAAGACCTAACTAAAAGGGTTCCAGTGAGTATATCTGAGAACTTGATTGTATAAATCAAGTGGTGCCCGGCTGTGGGAGGGTGGAACTGTTTAAATACTCAACTTAGTATCATTAAGACTTCTTCTGGGTGGCGCTCACCTGCACCACCTTCTGGACTGCTTATTCACTTTCTTACCATGCAGCATTCACTTGGTCACAGCACTGCAACTGGGAGAGTCAAGGTGGTGGCAAATACCTATGTTTGTGATTATTTAAGGAATACGGCCGTGCTCCTCATCCCCCTTCTTTGCCTCGAAAGTCCCCGTTGAACCTTTTACCAACGAAGCTGCTCGCCGTTGTTCTGTATTAGACAAATGACCCATAATTTCTCCAAGGGCATCAGCTCCTTACATTGAGTAAGTAAGCTGACGTTCCTACCCCCAGGCTCCCAGTGTGTATTAATATATGTGGCAGCTCTCCCTGGGAACTATGGCTACCGGATTCGCCTTGAATCTCTTGTTTCTTCTCTCGTTGTTCTTTGCGTCTCTTAGCAACGCCGGTCACCCAGCCTGGGAGGCAGGCGCTACAACGGTCACGTCCGAATGGATACACATAGACCCATCTTGGGAGTTCCCCACCTGGCCGAGTGAGACCATTCGGTATTACTTCAACAGTCCAACATCGAAAGAGAGATTGTCAAGTGACATACGGGCCGCATGGCAACTCTGGTATGCTGCAGGCTTGCCAGAGACCTTCCGATTTGTCGAGTTTCCAAAGTGGCGGTGCGAGCGAGAACCAGACAGTTGTTTGCGTGTCATTGGAGACGAGGAGGAAGTGTCGTTTTATACCAGTATTGCAAAGCAACGCATAGATCCCTGGGATCGTATTGCCATGTACGTGGTCTTTGAGGGAAATGAAGACGAATTCGACCGGGCCCTGATGATTGCCCACGAGATCGGGCATGCCTGGGGTCTCATCCATGAACATCAAAATCCCTTGTATTGGCAGTGGGCCTACTATGATACAAGACCTGATTCACTCTTTCAGTTCTATTGCGCGAACGTGATTGGGTATGATGAGATAGCGCATCAAATCAATAATACTCGGGAACTCTGGAGCGAGAACGGCCCTTGTCGCAGTCAGCTACGAGCGTTGGAAATGGGGTTTTATGCCGCCGACATCATTCCATGGCAGTCTCGATATCAATCACCACATCATTTGTGGCCTCATGACTCTGACGTGGATTGGGATTCTATCATGATTTACGGATCGTACTTTTTCGGAGCGCCGGATGAGCAGGGCAACAATAAGGTCACTCTTCTCCGGATGAAGGGCCTTCAGGTTATCCCAGAACCTTCAACCGTCACGGAATTCGACATTTTTGGGATGTTGCATCTCTATCATCCCAAATGGGGGAAGTTCCTGGATGTGTTTCACAACGATGAATCTAGCCCTTGGTACACCATCTTCCAGGGGAAGATCAAGAGCTGTCCAATTAAGACCTGAGGCAAGAGTTCTCCTTGACGGTTGTATTGGGTGTGATAGCTTCAATATCAGACGTATCTTTCTCCATGTTATCCAGTAGTCTTCACTATAGCTGGGTTGGTGATGTATTGCAAGTCTCTGCGGCGGCTCACCAGAGACATTGCCAGTATCGCGTCGAGTGTGAATGTACTGTACTAGGCTTGCGAATATTGGTTGGTGAGGAGTACAAGTGAATTGATATCAATCAATCCTGCCAATTTCTCTCCCATAGAGTGAATGGCTCATTCACTGCATCCACGTACAGTCAAAGAATGTCTATCTATAAATACCGCCTAAGCTGTAGTTCCTCCCTCTCAGACTATCGCTAAATATTCTCTCCCTTCATATATGGCAATAGCATTTGATGACCATGGCACCCTTCCAGCTGACTCTTTCTCTACTCCTCGTCGTGATAGCAACGTCGGGCAATGCAGCAAGCACCACCTGGGAGACGCATCCTTCTCACCCAACCTTGCCAGGAACCGCTCCCAACTGCAACAAATGGTACACTGCGAAGAAGGGCGATGACTGTTCCACTGTGCAACGTGATAGTGGTATCTCGGCCGATGACTTTTTTGGTTGGAATCCATCGGTCTCCAAGGACTGTAAGAAGAACTTTTGGGCGGATACATCGTACTGTGTTGGAGTAGGGCCAGCGATCACTACCGGGACACCAACCCCAACGGGCCTACCCTCGACGACTACTCCTAGACAGAGTACGGAGACGACGCCCATCAGCTCTGGTTCACGCGGCAGTGGGACCTCAATCTCTGCTCCTTCCAGCTCCCCAACGACCAAGGCCACCTACACGTTTAATCATCCCACTACCACCTGGACTCCATCTCCGCCTGCGCAAGAGACAGCATGGCCCCCGACCAAAACCCAGCCAGGCCAGCCCACCTCGTGCACCAGATGGCACGAAGTCATGATCGGTGACACCTGTGACACCATCACCAGCCGCTACAGCTCGTGGATAACGAAGGAAGACCTGTGAGTGACTCCCCACCCCCCCCCCGCTGGTAGAGCATCAGTTCGGACAGCTGATATCATGCACAGACTGGAGTGGAATCCAGGCCTTCAGGAAGATTGTGACGCCCCTCTCGTGGGTTATTTTCTATGCGTCATGACCAGGCCGTCTGGCTACAGCGTAACCTATTCAAGTGGTTCAACCCCGGTGGTCATTCCTACCCCTACGCCGTACACGCGCCCGCCTCCAGTTTGCCCTAATACCACTGAGACTGAGCTCACGCCCTCGCCAACACAGCCAGGGATGCCCTCCAAATGTCAAATATACTACCATGCGACCACTGTAAGTATCGTGAGCTCTCGGCGTCGCTTCTCCATTCTCGATTGCTAACATGTAGCTATAACTACAGGGGGACTCCTGTTCCAAGATCTTGTCGCAATATAACATGCCTGAGAAGCTCCTCCATGAATGGAATCCAGCTCTTGGTCCAGACTGCAAGGGCCTACTACCTAACTACTACTACTGTCTCCTTCCCAGTGGGTTCTTTCCCATGCCGCTCACCGTCACCACCGCCCCTGCGCCCACTCAAACCGGGATCACCAGCAACTGCAAGGCTTGGTATCGGAGCAACAAGTCTGAGACGTGCTCCGACATCGTGCTCGCTTTCGGTACATTCTCGGAGGAGGACTTCAAGGCCTGGAATCCTGCCGTGGGCCAGAGATGTACCGGACTGATCGTAAGAACATTCCACCCCCGAGACTGACCTGTAGCGGCAGCTAACCTCTGATTGCCCCCGATCAGGATGGTAACTGGTACTGTGTCGCCATGCCTGGTACTCCCTCCACACGCACTGCGCCTGTGCCGGCCTTCCCAACAAGCGTCCCGCGCCAGCCAAACGTTATCAAGAACTGCACATCGTGGTGGCATGTATCTGAGTCAGTGACCGACCATCATTCTCAACATTTCACATCCTAGATTTCTAACCGCGCATAGTGAGGATGACTGCTACGACGTCGCCCGGAAGAACGGCATCACCGTCGACGACTTCCTCGCGTGGAACCCGGACGTGCGCGCCGGGCAATACGACTGCAAGGCTCTGCCGGTAGACCACGAAATCTGCGTCGGCGTGCGACCCAAACCACCCATCCGCGGATGCACGCCAACTGGCACGAATACCACCGCCTCGGCCAACACGACGGTATATCCGACGACCAGGACGTCCTGGCACCGGACGCTGACCACGACCACCGTCGTTACGCAATGCGAGGATGCATCGTCGTCCACCTGCGCCACGGCCACGGTCACCACCACGAGGGTTGTGACTCTGTCTCCACCCCCAACGGCCACGCCGATTGATACCACGTTCGTGACCTCCCCGACTCAGGGTACGAACTCGTCCTCCGGGGCCTCGTCTCCAGTGGACTCGACCCTCCCTCCGTCATCGAGCTGTGCTTCTTCCAACAGTCCCACGCCCATCGTGCCGTCCACTACAGGCCCACGAGAAAGTAGTTCTTGGCCGACCTCCCGGCCAACTCGGAGCCAAGATCCCCACAGTTCTGTGACCGAGTCTCCGCCACCTGCGGCTCCCTCAACGATCACTGTGACTACAACCATTACGACACAGTGCTCCACTATGTCCACCTTGGATACGAGCTCGCCAGATGATACTACACTCGTGACAGCCACGGTGACAACGCACTGCTCGACTTCTTCTGTCTCGAGTACGAGCTCGCCAGAATACACGGAAATCGAGACGACAACCCTGACGACTCGATGTTCGACTACCTCGCCGAGTCAGACCGCAAGCGAACCTTCGATGACCATTATGCGAGGATGATTCTAGTTCAGGTAGCAAGCAGCTTGTATTCATTTGTAATGGGATCTGGCGTAGAGTTTTGGGAGGTGTCCCATGTAGGTTTGGTTGGGTGGGGATGAAGGATTTTTTTTTTTCTTGAGTGTCCCAGGAACGCGCCACGTGCATGAGCAGAATGATCAACGTGAATTGGAAGTTCTCCATAATTCTAAAGAATCAATGCATGGATCGTAAGGAACCAGAGCAGGGAAATGCAAGCAGAATCAGAATCAAATTCAGTAGAGATGGAACGCCAAGGTTGGCTATATTGGGGGGGGGGAGGTGATCACCATCATATGTATGTATGTATGTACTTTATGGAAGTACTATATGGAAGTATTACTACTAGTAGTAGTACTATACACACCCAACTCGCTATATGATCAACAGCCATAACCCAGGATGAATAACTACCTGCGTGGTCAAGCCAGAATCCGCCCTCTGAAACAACCAAACCCACACAATAGCAAGCAAGCAAACAACCGGACTCACCACCAAATTCCCTCACGCCCCAGCCAACATCCCACAACCGAACCGAAAAAAAAAAACACCTAATTAAGGGTCCTAACCCGAACGATAAGCTATAACACGACCTCTCTATAGGCCCATAGGGTGAATCGGCCTACTCAACCCCAACCGAGCGTCGCCAACCAGTCTGAGCCCATCGCGCGCTAGCCCGCAGCTTGGATCATGGGTTCTGCAGATATCGGCGCATAGATGCAGCAGCAGACTCCACATCCCCAGCACGGCTTGTGTGTATTAAGAGCAGGAGAAAAAAAAAAGGATGGCGGAAAGGGGCCGAACATCTGACATTTCCCATCTCGCATCTACATATGGGCCACTTTGCATGGCGGATGACCACTCACGGCTTGATGGCTGGTGGGCTCTAGTCTCTCGGATCAATGACACATCTCGCCTTTGAGAGGTCGCTGATTTACCCACTCTCTGTAGCTTTGTGAGCTAATTCTCTTAGTGACATAGCTGTAGGTGGGGGCGCATGTCCTTTTATCTGGTTTGGGGCTAGATTGTGATGGGTGGCCAGCCACTGCATATTGCTCGCATCGATTGCCTGAGTTAGGATATAGGTTGTAGGTTGAAGGGGGGGGAACAGTGGTGTTAGTATCCCATGTGGTGATGGTGAGAGGTTTGTCTGGGTTGGGGACCGGTAGAATTTTAAGGTCTGTGATGGCTTGGACACTCCAGCAGGTCAATAGCGATCTCTGTTAACCAAGCGATGGAGATAGATTGGCTTTAGATCGCTGGACGCTGCATCGGGCTCTATAATATGAATCTATAAGGAGGTCTCGTACGGAGTAGAGATGCATTGTAGATCCCATCCAATCCAGAGATTCACGATATCTCTCCGGCATAGACAACACAGCAGATATGTCTTACATCAGACGCTGGATTCCTAGAGACGAGCATAAATGCTAAGCACTCGTCCGAATGCTCGACATATACGCGGTGGAGTGTCTGGTCTGTCGCGTCGCAAGTCTAGCCGGCCATCCTCGGCGGGTCGGAAGGGGGAGCCTCGGTGAGCAGGAGCAATTAACGATAACACCGGAAGATAGAATGACGCCTGTGGGCCTGTCAGACCGTTCAAGTGGAGAGGGAACGGGGACGTGAACATCCGAGAATCGTTAGGTGTCCGTCCCGGACGAATTCGGTTACGGGAGAGAAGCCGAAGTGGTCAGGCTAATGCCACATCTCACCTCGAATTTGATTAATCAGGGCCCTTCATGGGGTCGATTGGCATGTGTTCTCCATCTGGGTCGGCAATTGAGCAACGTCAAGACCGGACAAGAGGTTGAGTACGGAGAGAAAAAAAAAAAAAAAAAGGGCTTGTCCTTCGATGACGAAATTCCACATTCCCTGTAGCTATTGAATTGACTCTGATATGCCGATCATGGTACCGAAGGAACCGGCGAATTAAGACGTTCGTATTTGACAAGCCACGACCAAACTTCGACTCTGATATCCCTCGCGCCGCAGTCTAAATGCACAACAAATGGGACTTTTCCACTGTCTGCGAATCCTTCGCGATCGTAACCGAAGTCAAAAGATCACAAAATTGATTGCGTTCCTTGAACCGTCAACCGAGGTCAGGTCGCTTAATTGGAAAAAAAAAAAAAAAAAAAATCGAAGATCCAGAGAGACAAAAACGATTATCGTGTTGTTAGTCACGGGGGTCGGAAGAGCCCCAGAATCAGGCCACAGTGGCATTAACTTTCGATGGGGGTCTCGGATTCAGAGAAAAATATCACCCCATTTGGTCCACTTTCCTTTAGTTTACCCGTGGAATAGAGGGATTAGGGAGCTAGACAGAGAGAGAGAGAGAAAGACCGCTGGCGGTATTTTTCCGATCACACGACATTTTTGTGGTTGAGACCCTAGTCGGGCTGGGATAGGCTTCCTGTTTCTTTTCTTCCAATCCTTCCACGGCTTCGATACCGCTTGGGATTTTCGGATCGAGGCTGAGATCTCCCTCTCTCTCGCCTCGGATAGCTACGCGTCGCTCTGCTAATTCTATATGATTGACCTCCTGGCGCATTCTGAAACTACACCGCCGGTGGATGATGTCAGCCTGGCGAGACAACCGTTTAGGGTTAACCGGAATAAACTACTACACACGCAGTAGAGATGTGCAGCAGTCCACCAATTAATATAAAAATAAAATCTCTTCCCTTAGACTCGGTCGGGAATCGGACCCGAATAGTGGAGGAGAAGTCCCATCTAGGCGTCCTTTGCTGTCTGGCGTTCGAGCTAGCAGGACGGAATGCCCCGTAGACGGTGTGAGACATGGGGAACGTCTTGGGTGGAAGGGGATTGCCTCGACAGTCGTAGAGACTTCAGGTAGGCGAGGTACACATCCATTAAAGGGGTTCGTTTATGACATTCGAGGACTCCATACCGAGTCGGTGGAACTCAATAAGGACAGCATGAGTAGACGTAGAGGAAACCGAGATTCGCAGGACTCATCCTGCCGAGCATCAGAGAATCAGACAAGCGACCTGCACGTCATTCGCATCTCCATCTCCGATAAATCCCATATCTGAATATCTAAATGACCGCCCGCGGATCCTGATTCAGGAATCAACATCAATTCCCAAGCCCAATCACGTCCAGGCGAAAATTAATAGGCACATCCTCTGACCCACCGCACCACGTGTTTCATGAAGAGAATAGGCGCTCACCAGCTCAATCCGGAGAGAGACAGGGAAGATCCTTCTATAGAATGGATCATAAGAAAAAGAAAAGAAAGGGAAAAATAGTAAAGACATACTAGTCCATAGTAGTATCCCCGTCGTGCGGCCCTGCATCAGCCCACTGGGGGAAGAGGGAAAAAAAACAAAAAAAAAAAAAAACCTGCTCTCCTCGGTAGGGAATATCGCCAGGTTTCGGGATCCTTTTCTTTTCTCTGGCCTGACGACATGCGCCTCGTAATGGAGTTGAATTTATCAGTATTTTTGGCTTTTTCTGCCTTTTTCTTTCATCCTTAGGGTGAAATGATCTGCCTGTGAGCGTTTTTTTTCCCGCTTTGCATACCATGGGAGGTTTCCGTGTGGATTGATAGTATGTTTCTTCCTTATCCTGGCGTTGGGATCATTAATTATTTCCATTTAATTATTTTTTTTATTCAACCCTTAATTATTATTATTATTTTGAATTTTGAATTCTGTGAACCAAGGTCTCCATAGATCTATATAATCATGCAATGCCTCACGTCTCCATCCAGGTCTTGAGTCATCATCATTTCTTAGATTCTTCTACTATCCTTCTATCTTTCCCATCTATAACTCCAAGCCAACCCCAGGCGTTCGTAACTGAGATCTCTCCCACTTCTTAGTTCAATCCTTCCAAAAAGGAAACCATTTACATCATCCATCTCTCTGCTCCGACTCTACTCCAAGCAAGCCAAGATGGAAGGACTATTCTTCGACTCCAGTCGACCTATAAAACATGTGGACCGAAAGGCACTCTACACCCGGCTCGAAGCCCGCATCAACTATCTCCAAGACTTCCTAGACTTCAATTCCGGTATGTTTTTTTTTCTCCCGTGGATGTTATATCTCGTAGATCATCATTGGTCGTGAACGGATGCTAACGCGGTCATCGCCATCAGCTGACGTCGAAGCCCTGACAACCGGCTCCAAGTACATCAAAGCCCTCATCCCCGCCGTCGTCAACATCGTCTACAAGAAACTCCTGGAACAGGATATCACGGCCCGGGCCTTCCACACCCGGAATACGGCCGACGAGAGACCGATTGAGGAGTTCTACAATGAGGAGAGCCCGCAGATCCAGCGCCGGAAGATGTTCCTCCGGTGGTACTTGACCAAGCTCTGCTCGGATCCCACACAGACGGAGTTCTGGCGGTATCTGAATAAAGTTGGGTGAGTTTACTCTTGCGTGACAATTGCTTTGTGGGGTTGATCTCGAGATCTAACGGTGGTGGTTGATCAGTCTGATGCACGCCGCACAAGAACGCATGCACCCCCTCAACATCGAATACATCCACATGGGCGCCTGTCTGGGCTTCATCCAAGACATCTTCACCGAAGCGCTGATGTCGCACCCGCGCCTGCAGCTGCAACGCAAGGTGGCCCTCGTCCGCGCCATCGGCAAAATCATCTGGATCCAGAACGACCTCATCGCCAAGTGGCGGATCCGCGACGGCGAAGAATACGCCGAAGAGATGTCACAAATGACCCTGGACGAGCGAGAGGGATTCCTCGGCGACAAGAAGATCCTGGGCGATAGCAGCAGCGCGTCCGCCAGCTCAAGCGACGACGATCGCTCCAGTGTGCACAGCAGTATAGCACCCAGCATTGCGCCTTCCACGATCTCAGCGTGTCCCTTTGCGGATATGGTCATGAGCAATTCGGCGGCGTCGACCTCGGAGACGAAGATCTGGGCTGGGAAGTAATTGATCGATAATGGGTGATCGGTCGAGAAAGCTTATCTGGGAAGCAAATTATGATGCG